TTGCACCCTCCTCACCCTACTCGGGTGTAAGTATGTAGCTCCATTGGCTTCACTTTGCTTCCCCCTTTACTCACAACAAATATGCCTCTATAGGCTCTGTCTTCATCATCTCCAACCCTCTCTAGTGACCAGTCCGAACAACTGTCTGGTGAGTCGACTCTGAAAAAGCCAACCACACCTCAGTCCAAGGCGAACAAATCAGCACTTAACTTCCTGTTCGGTGTATCAGAGCTATAGCAGGTAAGTAGTTGAATCTACTGCATTGGAATCTGCCAAAGACCTGGAACGTTCGCAAGACTAAGAGGCGAGCAAGAAGAAATCAACTGGTTTATGCATGCTCGTGAAACAGACATTAGATATTGGACACCCAACTGCTCATCTGGATAACCAGAGCCACAGCAGGCAACTGGGCGGTCCTACAGCATCTGAATCCACAGAAGGCCGGCAAAACATTCCACAAGACTGGAAGCTAGAGCGAAGAAAGCAACTGGCTCACACTGGCTCATAAAAAGATAAGGGATATTAGAACCATCTGAGCCAGCTGAATTAACCTTCGAAGCATAGAACGTTTTTCATTTACGCAGATGCGGAACCCAAAAGCCGTTGTTTTCCACCTCTAAAAAGCAAAATTTGGAGTTTGAACTGCTTTTTATAAACATTTGATATTGGAACCCTTTTCAAGCAGAGCGATTTCGGTTTCAAGGTTGTTAGTTTGTGATTACTTCTTTGAACATTCTACCTCAACCTTTAATAGTTTATTACCAGCAAACAGTTTTCTTTTGGTTGTGTCTTTGATCGATTCGTTTTATGGGGGTTACTTGACTGTGTAGGCCACATTAATTTCATTTTTTCTGAACGAGAAACACCATGGGGTTGGAGAGTGTACCTCATTCTGAGCATTTGCAACAAATTAGCCTATTCACCCTCAAACAATATATGAAACGAAGTGGCCTGATAGCAGCGCATACGATTCCTTATCAAGAAACAATTACCATCAACACTTGATAAATAATCACATTGGAACCCAACAAGTGTGACACATTGAAGAAGTAACACCAGGACTGGCTTCAACGTCTTTTCTCTGATATCATGTACATAAGGGAATGTCTTAATGCGGAAATGGCACTGGGTCCAACAGTGGAGTCATTGGTTCGTTAGACAACTTACGTTGACATCCGTTGTGTACCGGTAAACTACGTAGGGAGCCACTGGACTCACAAACCTGTCGTTGCACTAACGTATAGTCGCTTGACATCTTCATTCTTGACTAGGCGGTGAAATTCAATATTATACACATACCATCTTTCTTCCTTTTCCAAGTGTTGAACACTTTTTCTACTTGTTGCTTGATATACACTAATTTCAGGCTCCCATACATGCAGATGTAGTAAGTGGTTCATAAATCTTCCCATCAATTCATTTTCTTCCGTAGACACCGGATATATATCCAGGAAACATCCCACGAAATCACTGCATCCTCAAGAGCCGAACGTAGGAAATTAGAAAGGACTTCCGCACTTACGGAACGAGCGGAAACGAACGATGGAACCCAACCTCACCGCTTAGATGCGTGAGTTCGAGAACTGCCAGGTTTCTATGCCCACCTGAAAGGACGGTGGTCGTAGATTATTGGTTAGGTTAGCTGATGTTCGCCAGCGTATGGGAGTCAGATGTGATCCCCTCTAATTGGTCTTGATGACTGATTGTCCCACTCTTCACGTCAGAGTTGAAATCTTGTGGTGACCACAGGAGGTTCAGCCTGACGAGGATGGTGTCTAAGATTCTAGGTTCTGTAGTTTTTAGACGTCTGAGTAGAGCTCAGGAACAGTAAAACGCGAGGTCAGGCAGGTTTCAGACCTAGACGTGTCAACCATATATTCACCTTCCGTCAGGTTCTGAAACACAAGCCCACTTACCAGCACTCGTCACCAGTTGTTTTTCTCTAGGTTAGGGCGGTATTCGACCCAGTCAACCGGAGGTCTTATGGCAGTGCCCCACTGAAAGTGGTGCCGGCTAAGTATGTGACCGTGTTGAACGGTCTGATTTATCAGAGGAGTTGTGTACTTTGAATGGTGTCCGTCAAGGATGTTCACTTCGTTCTCATTCAAACTTGTCACAGCCGTACGTATGGAGGTCTCCCTTCCGTCGTCTGACTTAACAGGGGTTGATCTTCTTACAGGATAATTCTTAGTAGATCTAGAGCGCGCAGATGACATTACCCTATTAAGGTGAAAATCCGAAAAAATGCAGAGTCTTCTGGACTGTTTGAGTAGCAGTTCAAGAATGTTTGGAATGCATTTCAAGCCGCCTAAATGCAAATTATTACTTCTCTGGTGCCTTGCTGAGGTATGAAATGGTTGAGCTTGTTAAACACTTCACTTATCTGGGAAGTCGGACCAGTCCCGGTAGATCAGCAACCGACGGGATCTTGACTTGGATATAGAAAGCTGGATTGGGCGGCTTGGTGCCATTTCTTACCACATTATTATTAATCTTCCCTTGGGTCGCTAGTCGGATGTACGGCTTCAGTGGCACACCTCCATTTCACTCTGTTCTCTGCAGTCTTTTGAACCTCGCTCCACAACTGCCCACAAGCTTTCATTTCTTCCCCACACGACCTCCTCCATGTCACCCTCACCTCAGACACCCAACTCGTCGTTTCCACTTTGAATTCCACTCGACGGCCTAGCCTGTCGCATGATGTCCCCGAATGATCTTCTCAGTGTATGCTCAATCCATCTCCACTTCCTTGTGTATATTTGTTGGGTGGTTCGTCAGTAGGTTAAAATTCCTTGTTGCTTATTCTGACTATTCTGGTCATCTGATCTCATCTTCAGTATCGAGACAGCGTAGGTGGCAGCTGTTGATAAATGTGTGTAGTTTGTTGGAAATGCTTTTTGTGGGGCACCAAGTCTCTCAGCCATCACATAGAAGCACTGACTTGACTGACATTGGTATTGAAAACCCGGATGTTGTTGACGCTTTATGCTGAGTGCAGTGAAGTGTATCTCCACACTGATTTCAAGTTAGTGAAGGGAGGCCTGTGTTGCTGTCTTTCCGATGCTGGCTGGCTGGCTGGCTGGCTTGGCTGGCTGGCTTTGACGTCCTCATCTGTCCCGCAGCCGCCTGTGGTTGAAACGATGCTGCCTGGGTAGGTAGGTGGGTAGGTGAAAGAGACTACTTCCTCTACATTTCACCCGTTGATGGTCATTGATGTTTGTTGTTGTTGTTGTTGTTGTTGGTTGGTTGGTTGGTTGGTTGGGTATCTTCATCACCTCTGTATTCTCTACGTTCACCTGACTGAAGGAAGTCCTGTCTTCGCCGCTTTTGTCTCTTCTGTCAACTTGTTGGATTTGGCCTGTCGATCTTCGAGTTTGTGCTACGAGACATCAGACATAAATCATCATCGTTGGCGAAATCCAAATCTTCTAGGGTCTTCTTCTTCATCGGTGCAGCCAGTGTACGCCCCTCTTCTCGCTCTTCAGGTTTTGCTGCATGATCCAATCCACCAGAATCAGGAAGATCATCGGTGATAGTAGATAGCCTTGTTTTACTCCTCAGTCACTTCAGAGGCATCATTGAGCTTACCATTGTCAATCACTTGACATGTGGCGTCATCATATAGCTGTTGAGTGAGGTTGATAAAGGTTTGTGGTACTTCGTAGTGTTGAAGCGGCTGCCGGACAAATTACTTCTCGGTCGACACTGTCGAAGGCCTTTTTAAAGTGGATGAAGTTGAGATAAGGTGGAGAGTTGACTGGCATTCTACGCTCTGTTCTATGATGATGCGTAGCGTAGTGTTGCAATTTGATCCTCACATGATTTTTACCTCTTGAACCCAGCGTGTTCTGGTCGTAGTTTTGAATCCAGCGCATCTTAGTCTCTCCAGGATGATGCGGTTTAATATTTTGGTTGAGGTGGGCAGGAGTGGAGCGTAGTTCCGCGCCAGTTCTGCAAAGACTTACGTCACCCATCTTTGGGAGTTTCACATAGTAGCTGTTCTTCCAATTGTCTGGTACCTCTCCTCCCTTCCAGATCTTCTGCAGTAGTGGCGTGAGCATGTTTTCTGTTATCCCTGAGTCTGCTTTCAGTGCTTGTGGCGGAGTTTCATCGGATCCTGCTGCTTTTCCGGCTTTCAACAAGTTTTTGGCGTTCAGGACTTCAGCTTTCGTTGGAGGACTGGTAATTCTGCTGTTGTAGGTGGCATTTCTGGACGAGTTACCGGCGGTGGTCGGTTCAAGAGTTTTTTGAAGTGGTCAGCCCATCGTTTCCTTCATTCCTCCTCTTTGGTAACTAGGTTTCCGTCACAATCTTTCATTGGTTTCATCTGTGTTCATCTCTTCCCATATAGTAACCTGGTTATTTGATATAGTGGTGCCATCTCTAGTCTGCTGTAAAAACAGAATTGAAGACTGTAGCCAACTCTCAAAGAGTGGTCGAAAAGACCCAGTAGATGTTGTTGGCTTCTGAATTAGTGGATGTGCGTGAGCGCATCCCTGCAGGTTGTGGGTACAATGAGGAGCCGACGCAACTCATGTAGACTGATAAAACTTACACAGTAACCTGGAATACCGGTGAGCAGCGAAGGCCGAATAGATGGAAAAGGCAGCGGCGATTGGTAACAATAGAAAATTATTTAGACTTGTTAACGAGACTGGGGCGACTCGGTCAACTGGACTCCAGCTACCATTGCGTTACCCGCTATCCAGTTTGATCCTGAATAGAACATCGAGATTGGCCCCCTAACACTTGCAGATGTTGAGAAAGTGGTAGGTAGCTCGAAAGAAGGAAGGACAGCAGGACCGGAGGGAGTTCTTGAGGTATATAAAGACGGTGGTAGAGGGTTTTTAGTCTAGTTCACCGAGGTGTTAAGTAATGTATGGGAGTCAAATATGATCCTCTCTGGTCGGTCTCAATCACTGTTTATCCCAATCTTCGGGAAAGACGAAAAGTCTAGTTATGATAACCACAGAGGAATTAGTCTGACGAACGTAGTACCTAAAATTATAGGTTCTATAATCATTACACTCCTGAGTGGACCTCGGGAACAGCGAACCCGAGAAAACCAGACGGACTTTAAGACCTTTCCGTGGGTGTATTGACCGAATATCCACACTTCACCAAGTTCTGGAACAGGGGCATGCTTACCAACGCTTGACAATAGTTGTGTTGCTCGACCCGAAGGGGGCACTCTACCCCGTCCGTCGAGAATTTTTGTTGCAATGTCCCTCACTGAAAGGAGTACTAGGTACATTACTGGGTACACTACCTCATTGAAGGCTGTTTACTCGAACACCTGTGGGTGTGTTGGAACTCATGATGAGATGTCGAGTGAGCTGTGTACGTTAAGTGGTGTCCGTCAAGGATGCCCACTCTATTATTATTCAATGTTATCATAGGAGTCCTTTTGGAGGTTTTCCTCCTGTCATCTGACTACACAGAGACTGACCTTATCACAGGAGATGCTTTGGTAGACCTGGAATATGCAGATGACATAGTCTTTTTAGGTGAAGAAGCTGGCAAGATGCAGAGTCTTCTGGACGCATTGAGTGGCAATTTGAGAATGTTTGGGATACGTTTCTCGGCGCCCAAGTGCAAATTGTTGCTCCAGATCTGGTCTTCAACGGTTACCCGACTAACAGTAGGGAGTTAAGTGATTGAGCGTGTTGAACATTTCACTTACCTAGGAAGTCGGATGAGTCCTAGTGTGTTGGTCAGTGGCCAAAGTAGTCTCTGCACGGATACAAAAAGCTCGATTGGCGTTTTTGAACTTACGCCATCTGTGGTGCGGCGTGATATCCGATTTTCTATTAAGGATGGAGTGTGCTGTGCTGTGCTGCAGTCCACTCTGTTCTGCTGTATGGCTGTGAAACATGGCCATTACAGGTAGAAGACGTAAGAAGGCTTGAGGTGTTTGACCCCAGTTGACTTCGTAGCATAGGCCATGTGTCATGGTGTCACCATGTCAGTAATGCAGAAGTCAGATGTAGATTTTCAAGGAGAATAGGTAAGGTGGTGATTGCGGCTGTGAACTTTCATCGACTGAAATGGCTGGAACATGTGTCACGTATGCCTGACCACCGTCTGCCTCATCATACAATGTTGGCCGAAATAGGTTCAGACTGGAAAAAGTTCTGGTCGGCCAGCCTAAAACATAACATCAATTCATGAAGCCCTTTACTGTTCGTTTGAGCCACGTAGGGCGATGCATACTAGTCGGTTGGTGTCCATGGGACAAGAGAAACCAGTGGTCGGACCGATTTTTCTTTCCTTCTTTATCTTCCATTTTATTGCCTTGTGCTGTTACGGGGTGTGACAACTTGAACAGTTACACAGTAATGCCTGGTCTTGTGTTGATCTCGATAATGATGGTGAACGTTCATGGCCTTGGTATTCGATTGTTTATTTAGAGTTTAGTCTACCGTGCTGCATTTCGTTCTGTCCAACTATATGGTTGTCATTCACGGTCATAAAAGGTTGAGGATATGAACTGGCTCCAGATGGTTGATCACTGTTGTTTTCTTAGCACAGGTTTTGTCGTGGTTCTACTACGAACTTAGAAGTCAGGTACGGCGTTTTAGGAAAAGAAGAAGATCAGACGATTCAGTGGTGAATCTCCATTGACTCAGATGAGTTGTTCTTGTTTTACACATGCGTAGTCACCCTCTGCCTCGTTAGATAGGTGGAGATAAGGGATAGCAGTTAGACCTATCAGGCAACCAAACGACCTTGAAACCTCTCTACAGGGTAGTGCCGTATATCCCTAATGCCTATGTTTGTTTTGCCTACAACCTCATTAATTGTCTGAGGTCATTTGGTTATTTACTAGTTGTGGCTGATGTTCTCTTTCTCGGCTGGTCTTCACTGAAATGTTGCAATTTGATACACACCATAGCATGTTGGTTATTTCTTGACTTTTATCCTGTCCTGATTATTGAGGTCGTGTTCTGAGATTAAAGGGGCTGCTTGTTTTGGGCCATCAAGTCTCCAAGTTCTCTAGGAATTAGTGTGCACCAAACTTAACCAGGGCTTCTATATTCGCTGTTCCACTAAAGATGTCACATAGAATAAATATAGATCCATTGATGTTGAAAAAATTATTTCCTGTTTGCATCATCTTGATAGATTGTTGGAGTGGAGGTGTGTCTTTGACTTAGGGACTCATATTTCAAGCAGTGGGTCCCGTGTTTGATTTCAGCTTTATACACTTTGATTTGGGCAACTGAGTTGTATCATAGACCCATAGTCTAGTAAATAAGCGTGTCGGGCAGAATCACACTATTTTATAAGACATCTCTTAGTACGTATGATGAATAGAGTTTGCGTTGGATAGAGCCCACCAGAAGCTGCCAACCTGTGACAGTCTTCTTTATATCAGTTAGGTTTTGCTTGGACACTTGTGTGGTTGGATGAGATGGCGTGCACGTTTTGTTAATTTGGTGGGGAATAGTTAATCACGATAATTTGCAAGTTGCTTAAACTAGAGCAGTCGACTATAATTAGAAAAGTTGATTGATTTTGCTTATGGATATGATCTGAAAAGGATAGACGGGATCACCAATCACAGTTATGAAGTTCAGAATTTTGAGGTTTATACATCACACTGATTGATGTGTATTTTAACCTAGTCTCCATCTAGAAAACTCTTACACTTAAGTTTGCTTTAAAGAGTAGATCTACTCCGTTATGTTGAAAATTACCATGTAATACTGTTTTCAATACTACACTGACTTTTTGATGTAATATTTAATAATTGTGGGATCGGTGATGAGATAAATCTGTCTAGTCACTTGATTCGTAACACTTGGAACACTGGCTTCAATCCGCTGTGTCTAATTCAACTGGATAATAGTGCAGTTTCTCCTGTTTGTTAATATGTAACAAAACTCTGTAAGATACTTTTATGAGATCATATTTCTGAATTAGAAACTAATTGCTGATATCCTACTAATGCACTTATTTTGAAAATATCTGATTTATTATATAGGTGAGTTTTGATATAAACCTAGGGTGTTTAGAAAATCGAAAACATGTTTTCTCTGAACGTTTCGCTGTGTATGCCACAGCTTCTTCAGAAGAATATTCGGATTTTTATTTACTATCAAAATATATACTGTTAAAAGATACGTGTAGAAATTTATGTATTTGTGTTATTGGTTAGCTGTTTTGTTGTTCAGACTGATTGTTTCTAGTTAGTCATTGTAAATTCATCCAGTCTTTGTCATTTGTCATCAAAGAACGATTCAATAATCAACGTGCGTGTGTACATATGTGTGTAAACCTTTTATGGAAAATGTGTCATTCAATGATACAAAGAAATTTCTACATGTACCTATTGACAGTATATATTTTGATGTTAAATAAAAATCCGAATATTCTTCTGAAGAAGCTGTGGCATACACAGCGAAATGTTCATAAAAATCTTGTTTTCGATTTTCTAAACACTCTGATATTATATTATAACTTACGTATATAATGAATCAACCTGACTCGGCGCTCAACTTCTTTCAGGACATTCATGATAACTATGGCCTAGATGTTTATTATCTGATTTATTAATTGTTGAAATATCTCAGAAGTGGATTATGTTAACATTTGAAATGCTGTTTATGTTTCTGAAACTAATCTAGTTATTAGTTATGTTTCTTTGTTCAATCTATCAAGCAGATAATGGCAACGAGTAAAGTTTATTTTCGACGAAACAGACCTGGCACAAAGGCAGAAGTAAATCAATATTGATAATTTATCAACTTTAACTTTTTATAAGGAGTGGTGTAATTGGCCAGATGAATCATTTGAAGATATGGAAAGTACTCTAGCTGTTCAACAAGTATCTTATTATTTATCCATAATATATTGCATTTTAGTATATACAACAAACGATAAGACGCGATTTTAATAATATAGATGAAATTTTAACAGCTCCAGATGGTCAAGATGAAGTGGTTTGGAAATATGAACATTTAAGACAGTTCTGTATGGAATTAAATGGCTTAGCTGTTCGTCTACAAAAACAATGTACATCGAAAACATGTCCTCAAATGACTGCTACCGAACAGTGGATATTTTTATGTGCTGCTCATAAAACCCCTAAAGAGGTAATAATTTGTGAATAATACCTTTTTACTTGATGCCTAAACTGGTTATCTGTTTAATCTGGTCATCAATTAGGGCTAATAACTATGTTTCATAACATTCAGTTGATACATACAGCACTTAACTGAAACTAGTGACGTACATTTCTGTTTGATCATACATGAGATATAATCAGTTATTTATGACTACTACCTGCTAAAGCTCATTTTATATCAGCAGAGAATCATCTTTTCATTTGGATTAGCAAATCAACTATCGTTTTCTTCAACATCTTCTCTTGTGCTTGTTGACTATATATGTATCCTGTTAGGTATGATTGAGTATCGAGTCTCCTATATTAGTTTCTTATTGCTCTTGCATAGTTGTAGACTATACTGTTTCTGAATATAATAGTTGATCTTATCTTTTATGCATTTAGAAGTCGCTACTTGGTTAGTTCTGAAGTGTCTAAGGTAATTTTGATCGATAACTGGTTGTTCACAACTAGTTGGTGATACATGAAAGACTGATCTGGAGGCTGTGTTTATGTTTAAAAAGTCCCAAATCGTGTATTCTGTATAGCTTTCGAATACCTGGAACACTAATATTTATCAGGGTTTTTTCCATTCTTCTCATCAAAAATGTATTGCGGAATGGCACACTTTGGAAGTTAGCTCATCTCCAACAGATCACAGATAGGTTTGGTATTTGCCTCAGAGTAGTTTTCTAGGACATCGGATCTCAGATTTTCATAACGAGGTGAGTTGCCTAACGAAAGTCTGGATAGCTCATTGGATATGTTTTTGTGTTGTGAAAATGTGACATAGGTTTTTATTTCCATCGCTCATTTCTGTATGTTGTTGAGGTCAGGATATTCAGTGCATTTCTGTTTAGTTCGTTTATAAGATTAACGTTGGTTTGTGGGTTGCTGTGTTTGAGATGAAGTGATACAGAGTTTTCCAGCTAATTTCTATTCCCTCTTCAGTTTTGCGTAGTATGTATACATATCACCGTCGACTTTTGAGTTATATTTGTTACAGACAGTTTTGCAAGTCAAGATTTCCAACTCTTTTCATGATAAGCACCACAGAACCAGGTCCATGTTTAGTCTGCAGTGGTATTTCTGTTGTTTAGCGCCTTAACCAAAGAGTTCTCAATGGTTGCGGGTGGTACACCTAGCAAACTAAACAAGGGCTGAAGAATTATATCTTTATTTTTTGTCCTGTGCTTATTTAGTCCTGATTAAATAATCTCTGGTGGTCTCATAGTTATCCGTACTGTTACAAGGGTAGGTATTGAGTGTTTCAAATCGTAGAATCTCCTTAGTTATCATGGAAGAATTTGTTATTGCATAATCGCTGTGAACAAGAAGCGACTGTAAACGTGTTCTCAGTAAGAAGATGGTTCAGCAGAATGGGGTCTAGACGTGATGCCTCCCCGTAATATGCTACCGGATGACTTATTTTACTACCTCCGTAAGATAGGCTGCCTTTAGTGCATCTTCTAACCTCTGGCTAAAGACTATGTTGGTATACATCCTTCCTACCTAGAAGTGAGTGGATATTGTCTTAAAGTCATAGATAATGGATATTCAGTCGTAATCTGCATGGGTTGTAGCCAAAATTGCGTTGATGATTATCTTCTCGTGATCAAGAGTACTACACTTAGTAAACGACCTAATTCTTTCTGTTGTCCCATCAGAAGTCACTATTCTTCTGTTTAACTTACGTTCTATTCACATTCAGCTAAGTTATGTGAAGAGTTTAGCTCACTGGAGTATATTATGCTGCATTGTAATTAGTGAAACCTGATGTACCTCAGACACCGCAAACCTAACTCTCAAGCTAGATATCTCCAACGATTGATAGCCTCAATACTCGCTAGGGTGGTTGTATTGTTTATTTTCGTTGCAGTTCTTCATCTTCGTCTGCATTCCCATTGGCACATCTTAGATCACGTAGTGTCTGTAGGCATTGGCAGTTGCAACCACTTCACAATGCCAATATAGGCCAATGCACTTGAACTCATTCTTGATGTGTATATGAAAGGAATGCTCAAATTTCTGTCATTACTGCCTACGCTAGACGTTGGTGACTTGAACATGCCAGATTTTTCGTGGGATTCCTCTTAAGAGCCATTTCGTTCCCAGCCACTCTTTTGAACCTGGATGGACAATGGATGCACATATAGTCTGCCAAGCGCTTTGTGTAATGTAAGTGCACTCCTACATTACTGAAGCCTATGGTTTTCATTGTTACACTTTCCTCCAAGATCGATTAGTTATACTGAGATTGCTTCATACGTTATCTTCTAGTAATTTGAAAACTTGTTTGCTAAGTTCCATCTCAAGACTTTTTTGGAATCTCCATAGACCAGCCTGAAAAAGTAAAGTTCAAGTATTCCTAGCAGTGACTATATGCCTATCACATTTAGGTGAAAACTAAGAAAGCTAAGGACGCATTTTTTGTCTTCCATGACTTTGGTGCTATCTTCAGCATTCGATAAGTTTTTAACGAACTGAAAGGTCACAGGAGTAAAAGTAGAACTTTTATTGAGAATAAAATCCAAAGGCACACAAACAGAATTAACCTACTTGCCGTATTTTTATAACGTGAAGTCTGTAATGGGTTACACCCATTGAATATGTTGAAAAAAGTTAACAAGATCATTCATAACTTTACTTAGGTACATGAAATAGTAAACAAAATGTTTCCGCTTTCCTATACTGTTTGTAGTCACCGGCTTAGGATACTCAGTGAATGAAGTCACGAAGGTTAAGTTTTCTCTAAATGACGTATGCGATGCCATAAAACGGCTGAAATCCTTTCTTTTGGAGTAAGAGACAGAATAAATGGCAATTTTATTAAATGGTAGCAAGAATTTCCCCCTATTGCGTACAAAATTTGTAACCTATCCTTGAAATTAAATACCTTCTCAACTTCATGGAAAGCAGTTATGTAACGCCTTTAGAAACGGCCAAGATTTAGTCCAGAAATTTATCATCTTATAGATGTAACATCACTTCTTTGACGAGCTATAGAGAAGGTGGCGAGAAAGCGACTGCATCTTATCTTACTAGAAAATCTGCTATGAGCTGTTCACCGAACTAATTTTTGTCCTAAAATCTTGCTTCATACCTCCGTTGGAGTTCTCTGACCACACTAGTAACACTAAAAGCAAAGGAGAAGCATTTGTTTTCCTTCACTTCAATTTCACTAATGTTTTTGAAAATAGTAAATTCACTTCGGAAAAATCCATTTCTTTAAGTTGCTGAGTAGATCACCTTACTCCTGGAGAACCGTATTCAAGTTTACAGAATGAACCCACACTTTTTTAAATCCTTTTACATTACTAGTGGGTTAATTCAAAGCTGCGTTTTTCGGGCCCCTTCTCTTTAAAATGGATAAGTGATATACAAACTGGCTTTAAATTAGGCGAAATCTTTCTCTTTGTAGGTGATTGTAAACCAGTGCATAATTTCACCCCATTCATTATAACAGCGTCAGTATCATCAAACAAAGTAGTCTAGATGAGTTATAGAAATGATGTGATAACTGACTACTTCCATGTAATGCATATACTTCTAGTTTTATTCTCTTCGGAGAACAATGTTTGTAGAATTTTCTTTAATTGGACATCCTAGCACTCCTACAGCTAGGTGGCATTTTAACCTTTTAAGTAAGGTACTCGAGTGATCTCTCTTCTACAGAACAAGTAATAGTTCAGTTCTCTAAATCATGCCGCCTTACAGGATTAATTCACTGCAGTGTTCTTCTAAATGCAAACAAAATATTTTTTAAACCACTGTTAGGATACTATCTTATTGGCCGTAGCTGCTTACTTTCTGACAACGAGAAAGTTGATAAGTCACAATATTACTTTATAACACTTATTTCTCCTGATGTATTAATTATACAGAGATAGATTTTACACTTATCTCCTACAACATATTTGATAAGAGCGAACAAAGTTGAATTTCATTATCTTCTATGCAGTTCTACACTATAAATTGATCACAGATGTTGATACAGTATATTTCTTCTAAACAGCTTTAAAATCTTAGAAACTGTGATTTCCTCATAACAATTTCACATGCTTTGAAGTATCTTAAGGCTTCTTTTTTTGTTATGTCACGCCGAAATTTGCAATGAGCGTATGCAAGATATCGGATGCTGAAAAGTTATGTCATGGTTCAGATCAACTTTAGACCGCCAAATCAATCAGCTTGTGATGTGTAGTGGTCTTAATTTGTTTTTACCAAACTGAGAAGAAGTTTCTCGATAGCAAGCCAAACATCTACAATCAATCAACTCATGTTTCATCTCACTTTTTTTTAAGAACAAAAGAAAGATCTAGATGATTCCATTCCGCGCGAGTTCTGTTTTTCTAATCTTGAAATCACAAACAGTTCTAGTGCCTTTAGTGCAGAAAACTAAGGCTTTAAACATATGGTCACGCAACCTCTTAGGTGACACTTGTGAATGAAAATTATGACAAAGCGTACTTCACTACAGAAAATTGGAGATAGTACAATAACTTACATAGGCAATGAATTTTACCTTTGACTGAATATTTACTTTTAAGATTGGACAACCTACTTTTCCAACTAAATCGTCCAATAAGTTTTTGGAAAGTCTTTTAGTATGCTACTGCTTATTTACTAGCACACTTATAGCATATAATGAATGTAAAGTACTAGGTTGCCTACTGAACTTAGGTATCCACACTGTAACAACTTAGACTGAAATTCGGCAGTTGATGTGAAATGGCGAATTTAATTACCTGGCACAGATATTTTTATTGGTGTAGTAAATTTTCAAACAACATGCACTGGACATCGTTAGAAAAAGACGGGGTGGTGACTACCGATCATAAGATATGACGATGAGAACATAAGATATCAACGCTTACCAGTTGAGTGGCGTAGTTTAATTTTTACTATCAATATAGGTTAGGATTATTGTTCTTTCAGTAGTTGTCAGACAAAGTCAACCTCGTACAGAATTGCATCAATTCAAGTTGCCACACTTTATGGTAGCATAAAAGAACTAGTGGATGAAAACAAAAGGCGAATATCACAGTAGATAAAGATGTATAGGAAGAGAAACAACCTAAAGATAAAAGTTAGTGTAGATATTCAAGTTTTAGAAGACATCAAAGAGTGAATGCATGTAGACCAATACGACCGATTTTGTCACCAGAAGTCTATAACGCTTGATTCATGCGATTTCGAGGACCTTAACCATGTAGTCCACACCTCCTTGAACGACTCAAACCAACAGAGAGACTTCATGCACTGTGTCCACCTTCCATAGTTATAGGTTCTGCTGTTTTTCAACATGATATTTGATCTTGTCTTTTAACCATTTGAAAGTCGCTGTTTACCAGTTCTGAAGTGCCATAAATAAGTTTTATCGACAACTGATTGTTAGCAACTGTTATCTTTCTACGTACTTTGTAGTGAACTTTTGGATAGAAATACTAAGTTCATAACAGAAAACAGTGGAGTTTTTGGTTATGCATAATATTTGGGTTACACTATTAGTTGTCGACAACATTTTTGCTGAGCGAATATACTAGGAGGATGTAGAGTTTTCTTAACCACTTATCAAAGTTCTAAATATGTTTGGTACGCTATGCGCTCACCTATCAAATCTAGATCACGTTAATAACGTCTGTCTTTTTCCAGTCTTGTTGTAACTTGATAGAAAGGCATTAGGTGACTATCAGTTCTACAACCAGACAGACAGACAAAAAAATCATAAACTTAGAACCTCGCACACAAATGTATCAGTTCAGGTTGCCATACTTCCATAGTAGCAAAAGAAGAACAGGTGGATATCAAGGTATATAAAATTGTGTGAGAGAATAAACAGTTTGAAGATAAAGGTTGGTGCGAATATCCTAGCTTCAGAAGATGTCAAGAAATGAATACATCTGCGCCACTGTAACCGATTTTCTTCCATGTCACTTAGAGTCCTCAACCACTGATCCCTATCATCTCAGGGACCCTAACCAGACAGTCTACATCACCCCTACATGACTCAAACCAACAGTGAAAGACTTCATCCATTCGTGCTACGGTTTGATCTGGCCATCCTGAACCCTCTTCCAACCTAACCTAACTTCCCCTATCATGGCTTATTGAGATGTGTGGTGACTGGGCATGTGCAATACATTTCCAAGCCATCTCAGTTTATGAAGGTTCATAAACTTGTCAATCGACTTGTCTAGTACCCTTTGCCTGACTTCAACACTGCTCACACGAGCATACGAAGACACCGATGATCAAAACCCTGTAATTGCTTCATGTCTTCTACTTTCAACGGTTATGTCTCAGCCAGATAACAGGCTAGAAAGGATTGGAACGCAGTATACTTGTCCTTTGATAGATAGTCGAACATCTTGCCAGTCGGTGGCACAGATGACACATTTTGGCAAATGCCAAACAGGCCATCTGTATCTGAGTTGGGATTTCACCGGCAAGCAGCCCGTTCCAGTTGATGCAAGTCCACAAGTAAGTGGTGTGGTTGACACATTCCACCACGTCACTACCTTTCATTTAGCTGAGAATCGTTGCAGACCAGTTGTGGAGCATCATTTTACATTTGACAGGTTCCAGTGAAATGCATTCCAAACATATTTAGATTTCTGCTTAATGGGCCTAGAAGACCCTCTATTTTGTCAGCGTCTTCCTCTAACAGGAAAATATCATTTGTATACTCCAATTCAACGTGATAGCCTCCAGAGAGTTGAATAATCCCAGTGAAGTCAAATACCTAAGGTTATATTCATTAGTACATTTATAAGGAAGTTAAATAGGAACGGTGATAATAGGCACCCCTGGATGACACCTATTTATCGTTAGGATTGAGTAGAAAGCTTTGATAAGTATTATATACTTACTCGGTGCTCCTTTCATAGTCAGACATTAGGTTAAGATTGAACATAAGTATTCATTACAACTGCTTGTAATGTTAAATGATGATAGCCAACTTTATAGAATAGATCAAGTTAGTTTTCTTTTACTAGATCGTTATGAAGTGGTTTACTTTTTGTTTCTTTCTTTTCAGTGTCCAGCTATTGATTATACAAGACATACACTTGATGGAGCTGCTTGTTTGTTAAATAGTAGCAAATATTTCCCGAGTCGGTAATTAGCATATTTATTTCATTTAATTATATGGTATATACTTGTAAATTATAGGGTAAGCATTAAATGTACATCAGTCAATCGTCTTGATTCTGTATGTCGTCGAATTTACAGAATATTCTCTCATGCATACTATCATCATAGAGAGATATTTGATGCTTTTGAAGTAAGTAGACTTTGTTTTATCAGGTTTTGGCTACTATCCACTCTCTCACTATCTGTCTTTATATCTGCATGATTAATTGGTTCACTGACTGATGTTTAATTTTAATTAAAACTTGGTTGGGCTTGAGGTATATCACTCTGAGGTTTTTTACGTTTTATACACTTGACAACTCATGTACAGCTTCATAATGTAGCCAACAAACCATATTTATTATTAATGGACTGATGTTATATAGTTGGTTGTTGAAACCTGGATATTTTGAGTGGGGTTCGAACTAACGGTTCGTTGTTTAAAAGTCAACTATCGAGACCGATGACCAACAGCGTGAAGGGAGTTACATCTGTGAAATATTTCTTGGCGATTATTGAAATCTTAATGAACACTCATCATTATATATGATTGATGTGTCAATATGCTTCTATATTGTTTGTGTATGTGTATGTGTGTGTGTATATACAGCTTTTCTCTACGTATGAACTCAAATAGTTGTTTCTAAGGGTGGTAAACTTACTTTTGAAGCTGTTAACAAAGTAAAAGAAACAAAGCATTAAAGTTCGAAGAAAACCAAATCATTATCATCTTCATCTTAAGCTAGGAATCTTCTTGATCACCTCGAAGAGTAACTTATTATTAGGTATTTGTGTACTTACTGCATCATCAGGCAGACTTACCATATAAAGTTGAATAGTACTAATTAAATTTATTGCTAGAGTTAACGTCTTTTGGTTTTTAAGAAGGAAATTAGCTGCAGTGTTATTCCTGTTATCCTGCATATTTTATTTTAAGATATTTTCATAGTGTATTGGAAGAGGGTTCTGTTGTATACTGTGTTGTTGCGTGTTTAATTTATTGAAGCGAGTCTGCGTTTAGAGTTTGATATATGGTTTACTAATTAAGTATAATATAACATTGTGAATGATTACCTTCAGATTTTACTTACGGTGATTATTGTACAAGAAAAGTCACAGTGTAAGTTTAGGTTGCATCTAAATCCACTTAGCATCTATGTGGATATTTGTGTAGTAGGTGATGAGCCACACCTATCGTGTTCGGGTTAGTGATACTGTTACCTGGTTGTCCGAATCTCGGTAGGTGGAGAGCGGTGCTTAAACCTGTGACTCATTCGTTGGAAGTGAACTCCTTAAATCTAGGTTGGTATTCACTGCTAAACACTGGAAACCTCAGAGTACTGGACAGCTGTTTCAGTCTATTGTGGGACTCTTCAACAGTACGCACTCACAACTGATGTCAGTCTATGATGAATAAATAAATCCCCATAAATCTCCAAATTGAATTGATCTATTGCTCATTAGTGACTCGCTTTGAGAGGGGTGATTCGTGAAGTTCACATGAGAAGTTGTGATGGATGGGACTAACCAAGTCGGACATGAAGACTCAACGATGATATTGGATGTAGGTTGTGCTATATCGTGAATTAACAGATGTAAGGAAATGTGGACCATTGGATCCCCGTCCCATTGGCTTAAGAGTAGTGTGCTACGTGCGGAACTTGAATACCTTGGGTTCGGTTCCTGGCCAAGTATTGGATATACACTACTGAAAAGTGCCATACTGAAAGGAAACAGCTGTTCAATATTCCTAGGATTTTCAATGATTCGCCAATCGATACCGTTCCGTACCTTAAACATAAAAACCCTATGCCAAAACAATAATCATAATAATATTGACACTGGGGTGAGAATTGAATAGGTTGAAGATAAATTACATCATTCAGAGCAATGTGAGTTAGTCATCACTTAAAACGATATCATGAAAAACTCAGGCTTTTCATTGTAATGTAATGTAATAAGGCTAACACTAGTAATGGGAATAAGGTTAATTTAGTGGGGAAAAAAATCACGGAAGGAAAAAAAAATCAAAAATATATAGGTTAGGAGTAATCATTAAAGGCAAAAAGAAAGTAGAGAAAAGTGAATATGATTAGACGACGTTATACTACTTATTAGGCTATATTCAAGCTGACTACCATTTCTTTCTGAATGAAGAGGTTTGATTTAACAACTTTAATTGTAAGCAACTTCTTAATCTGTTATCTACCGATAATCATAAACCACTTATAGATATCAATATGATAATCAAAATGGAAGTAGTTGTTACATACTACTGAAATTTATGCATTCATTGCATTAAATCCTTCTTTCTTCACATCAGTACTTGTTTTATTAAAATTTATATTTTATCTTATCTATTATTATGAAAGTAGTTGGTGAACAATACATCTATTCACTTGTTTCGTAGTGTATCTAGTATTAACTTTTTCTATGGGTACCATTGGATTGTGATTGATATACTCGCAGGGACTTGAAAAACTAGCTAACTTACTTTCCATTTGATCAGAGATAGTAATAATAATAATAATAATAATAATAATAATAATAACCATTACATTTTGATGTCTTACCAGTTTCGCGGTTGACTGAACCCTCCAACTTTTTGTTAAAAGTTGATAAGACACAACCACAACCACATGGAAACTCATGTAATAGATAATGAGATGTATTTATTATTTAAAAGTAGTTAATAAAAGCTATTACCTGACTGTTTAAATGGGATTCGAGCTCATGATTTATTAGTTGAAAGTCAACGATAATATCATCAGTAGATTAGTATGTAAATCATTCAACGGATAGATTTTACTGAAATATATTTTTAGATATATTTAAATTCTTGCCTCAATTTTTTCCAACCTATCGTGACAGTAATCTCCATGCTATTTTTAATATTCAACGAAACAAAAAAAGATGATAGAATTTCTATTCAGTTGTAGGTTGTGTATGGGTGTAATGTGGTTTGAATAAAACATTTTCTGGATTCATTTGTATCCTTTCGAATACATTTATGTCCATTTGGCAACGAATTCGGGCGTAGTCCGCGCAAGATTGGCAGGAGCCTGTGGTATGCACTCACTCTTAGTGATGAGCCGTTGGAAATAGTCGAAAAGTTTCGTGTATCTGGGTAGTTATGTGAATGGTGAAATTTTCAACTGTATATCAAAAGTCAGAGTGGCATTCGTCAATCTGGGACATCTTTCGCACCGTCGTGACGTTAGTCTGACTGTAAAAAGTGGAGTTTGCAACGAGCAGTTCTGCTGAACTCCAGGGAAACCTGGCCACTCCGAACTTAGGATGTGACACAACTTTGTGTATTCGATCATCGTTGTTTTATAAGATTGCTGTTGTCTGGTGGCAACACCATTTGAGTAATTCTAAGGTTTGACAGCGTGTGTTTGCGCATGATTCAGATTGTCAACTAGTAAGTGAAGTCATCTGGAGACACCAGCTTCTGTGGCTTGGATATGTGTTATGCATGTCATCCCAACGGCTCCCACGCCGTTCTTTGTTTACTGACTATGGGACTGGATTGAAGAGGCGGAGGGGTGGATGGAGCCGTGGGATGAAGGATAGTTGGATCGGGTTAGCATCTGTTGGTCCATCACAACTCAGTGACTTGAGACGTTATCAGATATGGCTGAAAACCGAAACCAGTGGCAACCATACTGTAGCTTCCTTTTATCTTCTACTGCTGAGTGGAAAGTAATGAATGTCCCGTTTCGAATGCACCTTACTGGATTGCCCTTCTAGTCATTCTGTTCTTATTTTGTTTCTCTCTCTACCCACTACCTTTCATTCATAATGTTGTTATATTATTTTGTGTGGCGCATTTCTTGATGCTCTTCCTCTACCACGTTTGTGTTCTAATAAATCAATCAAGTGGGTCACAGGTTCGAATCCCGTTTAACCGAACATGGTGTTAGCAGACAGTTAGTACCATTACCTCTTATTCAGTTGGTGTGTCTCATCACTGACTGCATATAGTTACTGAATACATTTCGTTTTTAAAAAAACTTACCATCGAATAAATACGATGATATCTACTTTTGTAAGTTCATAACGGGAATACAAATCTTTAAATAGTTCTACTCGAATCATTATCGTTAATGCGTACACAAGGGTAGGAGAGAATAGTGAATTGACTATCCATTCAAATAATACTTACCTATTTTAATGACCTTAACAATTGGAAAAAGGGAGGAGATCACTTTGTCTGTTCAGGAAAGGACTGTGTATCACAACAATAACGCAGAACTCAGTCGTAGAGTTTTAGGGAGGAGAAGTAAGTCAGTTGATACGGTTATGAACCTTCATCGACTGAGATGGTTTGAATATGTGTTACGTATGCCTAGTCGCCGATTACCTCATCACACAATGTTGACCGAAGTAGGTCGAAACTGGAAAAATGCTCCAGGTGGCTAGACTAAAACACAACATCAATGTATCAAGTCTTTGACTGTTAATTTGAAACATATGGGGCGATGTAGACTAGCCGGTTGGGGTCGGTGGGACAAGAGGAACCAGTGGTTGAAAACTTTAAGTGATATAGCTCAGAATCGATATCAATGGCACAGATGCATATACACATAATCCTCACCTCAACCGTTACTGTTGTTTATAACAGGTGATTGTGTTGATAATATATATTAAAGGTGTATTACTCTACAAACGCTTAATGTTTTACTATTGTTTTCTTCTCTTTTCTCTTTGTCTATATTATTTTTTCGACAACATAGGAGTCAACTGCACTATGTCGAAGATTTACAACATTTGCATTAAAATATAAACTTATGAGTAAGGATAATTTGATTGTACCTACCGCTGGTACTGTGGATCAAACTGTTGTTGAAGCACATATATAAGTTGTTGTTGTTGTTGATTTGTCAAGGTGTTCAACTCATCTCATCTCATAACATATGATGTAATCCTCTTCTCTTCTTTTTTTTCAAAATATTTCATAATTTCAGTTTAAAATGAATTTGATAACTTGATCCACGTTCCTGAATAGTTAGACGTTTTTGTTTTGTTGCCGTCTTCTTTCGTATTGTTGTACAGAATTACTTACATGCTATTGTGTCAATAAAGAAATATTCTTTTGGGTAACTCTATTATTCTCTTTCTCTTCATGTTTGTTATACTGATTTATGCATAATGTTTTGTTTTATAAATTGATTGATCACTTGAGAGCAACTAATGTATAGAATCCAGTTCTACATGAGGTCAGTCATGATCTGAATAACTCAATGGTAACGTCGCTGACTGTAACATTGGATGACGAGCGTTTGAATGTCACTGGGGACATCAGTTCCCTCGAGATTGCAGATATGCTTTGCTGACGAATGCTAACAAACATGAAATCTAGAACAAATAGGACTCTTTTCAACCGATGGACACATTTTTTCTCTATCTTGAAACCTATGGTAGAAAGACCAGTATTAATGTTATTGCTTGTATTATCCCATCGTTGAATGGACCGAATTGATCGGCCTCCATTGGCATATGGGCTCCTATACGGATGCCTGAATATTGCCTGTGTTTGAGTTATATATATTGATGATGGATGGTGGTTAGCAGTTGAATTTAGTACTCGCGTTTCGTCGTTTGAGTCTCGTCAGCTGGATGTATCTCCCTCCCAGTGATTGGTGTTGTTCTCACTATACCCGTCGCACAAAAATGGCTATCGTTACTCAACGGGGTACTGGATAACGCTCTGGCGTTTGAAGCAATCGGTCTCGAGTTCGATTCTTAGTGGGAACAACATCGCTCATTGGGAGGCAGGTACATCCACCTGACGAGTCCCAGATAGAACGAAATGCCCGTCCTGGATTCCGCATTTAGCCACTATCCATCATTATATATATATATATATATATATATATATATATATATATATATAAGACTAGTACTCGGTAAAATAGTTTGACTGGTAAACTAACGGAATGAATGCCTTGAACGGACTTTTATAGCAGTTGAATTAACTAACACAGTGTGACATAATCAACATAGAACCTTGCACACTAGTGCATCACTTCGAGTTACCACGCTTCACAGTAGTAGAAAAAGGTGTATAAGAGGAAAGAGAATTCAAAAATCGAAGTTACTCAAAACATTGAAGCTTTACAAGATGTCACGAGTGAATATATCTTCACCATTGTGACTGATTTTCAACTATTTCACCAAGAGTCCTCTATCACTAATTTCTGTCGTTTTTAGGACCCCAGCAACAGCAGTCTACACCTCCCTACATGTTTCAGACCAACAGTCAGGGATTTAATAGACTGATATCACGTTTTAGTCTGACAAACTGGAGCTTTCTTTCAACTTTTCCATCTTCTGGTAACATTGCATAGAGTTTGATGGATTGACTTATTGTTTCCGTTTATAACACTTTGATATAGTATGGCAACAAAGGATGAATAACACGAACAAATGACGAAGACCAATTGCGACAACAGTTCATAAGACGGAAGGTAAACAGCACATGAGTAATAGAATAATGACTGGATGGTAGATGCCACGTTGTAACCTCAATAACCTTGAGCACAGATTTCTGTCATCTATAGGCTACGCCAACAATAACTTCAATGATTGGTAAAGTTTTATGCAGTAAATCAATGGGTCAGAAACTCAATTTACAAACCAATCAATTTTTTAATTCGTTTAACTTGTTCAAGGCGTAACAAACTTAGTATTATCATCCCTCAATTCGGTCCAGTCAATGACAAGATAATACAAGCAATGATACTAAAACTATGCTCGTCGCACAACAAATGGCTAACATGGTTCGGTAGTCTAGTGAATAGCTCTCTGGCGTTTGAGGCGATCGGTCCCGAATCCCAGTGAGAACAACCACTTACTAGGAGGCAGGTAGATCCAGCTGTCGAGTCCCGAATAGGACGAAATGCGCATCCTGAATTCCACTGCTAGCCACTATCTATCATTACTATATAATTAAATAGTGATTTATTTCGAATTATAGTCTTTGTACTTTCTATTACATTTAAATAAGTTACATGACTTTATTTATCATTTAGATTTAGCAGAGAAATCTAGAACGAGCATTTCGTTCTATTCAGGACTCGTCAGACGTGTGTGCCTTCCTTCCAATGAGTGGTTTAGCTTTCACTGGAACTGAAACCTGAAGGCCATCATTTCAAACGCTAGACAATGGCTTCTAGCTAGGAAAAAACACGTATCTTGGATTTCGTTGTTAGCCACTCTCCATTACTACAAATTAGAACGACAGTCAACATCGAAGCATCCGTGCAGGATCGCAAATGTCAATAGAGACCGATTAATTTGATTCGCTCAACGATTGGATTATGCATGCAACAGGATAAAAACTACACCCGTCGCATTAGAAGTGACTATCGTGATTCGATGACGTAATGGATAATGTTCTGACTTTTGGAGCGACCGATGTCACGTTCAGGTCTTGCTGGAAACAACATCGCTCATTGGTATACGTGTTGCATCATTTCTATTACATGTACCGGGTGTTGATTCGATGAACAATGAAAGATTCTCACCCTCTCTCTCCACCTAATTATATTCGACTTAAGTATAGCGGTTTTATACCATCCTATTGTATAGTTGTGTGTTAATGCATGCATTGCAATAGATGAGTTTCTTCTAGATTATTGATCTTATCCGGGTTTGTCATTCTATATTCAGCTAAATTCATATGTTCGGCTATTCTAACTGACCCAGACCGACTAGTTTCACCTATATACTTGACCTAACTCTCAGTCATTACATGGTATTTGATAGATTATATTATTTTGCTCAATTGGTTCTATCGGATCCTTAAGCCAAATGACGAAGCTTATCTGTGAGTGAGTTTGTAGGTTTAAATACCACCATAAATGCTGCCTTCTCGAGAACTCTACCTACAATTTTTGATGTTCCCTCCTTATATGGTAACACAGTAGAGCGTGTGAACTCCTTTCTACTTGTGTTGTCATTATTATTCTTATCAATAAGAACAACTCATATAAGATGACATAACTATAAAAATCAAATGTACAAAGTGGTTTGGTTACATTGATATGATAATGAGCAGTAATAATTTATGCTCAAAACGTCATCAAGTAAATAGTAATACTATATCACTGTGTATTATAAATCAATCTCTGATATGAGATTAGATTCTACTACAGTACTCAAGTTTTACACCTATATTAACAATCTTCTACTGTTGCTGATGTGTTACAATTTCTGTATTGAATGCATTTTTACATTATAGCATTTTATAAAGTTCACTTTTTACGAAATCGCTGGATAAACCTTAGAGCAACCAAATACACTGATAAGACAACTGTTTAGATATTTAGAAAAAGACTGATTGAGCCAGCGAAGAAATGTATATTCCTTTTAAATTAGGTCTTCATCTTGGGTCTCTGCACTAATATATAGGTTTGCAATTTAATCAAATTACCAATCACGTGGTGATGTTTCGGAAATAATGATGTAAATAGGTATTCCAGTCTCTATATTGAAAGAACTACTTCTGAGGTGTACGATGAATACACAATTTCTTTTCAACAATGAACTCTACCGGCAATCTGATGGTGTTACTATGGGGTCACCCCTTGGTCCGCTCTTAGCAGATTTTTTTCTGGCAACACTTGAGAATGGTCCACTGAACGATAATAGCAACCGTTTAGAGTTATGTTGTCGTTACATGGATGATACCTTTTTAGTTCTCAAAAGTGGGACTGATAAGAATGCTGTTCTGAATAAGTTCAATAGTGTTCACCGGCAGTCAACTTCACAATGGAAGAGGAGAAAAATGATCGTATCCCATTTCTTGGTGTTCCGTTGGTAAGAAGGTTAGATGGAACTCTGAAAAGAAGTGTGTACAGAAACCCAACATCAGCAGGTCAATCCACGCACTTCTTTAATGCTGTAACCCTCCAATACCAATACAAAAGGAACCTAACGAAATAATTAGCATACCGTACCTCAGCTATATGTCCAGAGGATGCTACCATCCGTGATCTGCTGAGTAGGAACAGCTACCAAGGTAAGTTTGTAACTAAGCAGATGAATATTATGAGGGTTAAAGCAACAATGTCGCCAGTTCCTAAGAAGCAAATCTTCTTGAAGCTGGAATTTAAGAGTGACATTGCCAGTGAGATTTTCACACAACGCTTAAAAGGAATCTTGCATAAAGCATTCCTAGCCGCCAAATTATGTCCCGCCTTCTACGACTGCCCGATCCTAGGTGCAACAAATAAAGGCAAACTGCCTGATTCTGCCACTTCCACGTGCATTTATCAATTCAACTGCTCCTGTGGAGCTAGTTACATTAGGCGTACAATGAGCCAGCTCCATAGTCGAATTTCTGAGCACCACCCATCATGGTTGAACAAAGGACAAATTAGAACTGTAAAGAGCTCCACACTTAGTTGACACAGAACATCAAGTGGTTACTGGGAAAGCCTTCAAAATCATCCATCAGATTCCTGTTAATTTACCTTATGAATTATGCACTCGGTTACTTCACATAGCAGAGGCGATTGCAATCCACCTTTACAAACGTAACCTTTGTATATGACAAAAATGTTTCATGAATTATACGACTGTGAGACATGACCGTTGGAAGTTGAAGACTTGAAGCGATTACAGTGTTTTGATCATTGGTGTCTTCGTTTCATAGCTCGCATTTTGATAGAATCCTCGTGTGAGCAGTGTTGAATTTAGGCGAAGAGTACTAGGCAAGTCGATTGACGAGGTTGTGAATCTTTATCTACTGAAATGGCTTGGAAATGTATTGAGCATGCCGAGTTACTGCATACCTTGGTAGGAAGAGTTGGGTTAGGTTAGAAGAGAGTTCCTGATGACCAAACTATGACTTAGTATCAGTCGAAGTCTCTTACTGCTGGTCTGAGTAGTGTGGTTGTGATGTAGACTGCCTGGTTGCAGTCCCGAGATAATAAGAATCAGGGATTGAGGATGTATTCACTCTCTGACATCTTCTAAAGCTTGAATATGTGCACTAACCTTTATCTTGGAATTGTTTATTCTCTCTCACAACTTTGTCTACTTTGATATCCGTCTTTTGCTATTAACCTGTTCTTCGTTTACTACTCTGAAGTAAATTGATCATCTTATTTAAACTATAAACGTCCATGTAAGCCAGCTAACCGGACTCAAATGATTTCACAACTCAGCCGTGTGAACTGATTTCATCCGGTTACACTGCTAATGAGCTTGGCTACAAAAGAGCGGAACGGTCGTTTGGTGTGTAGGAAATTCTTAGCTGTCTCGACAAATCTACCAGTGGTCTTCAGCTACTTAACTTGTTCAGCAGTATATTTTGTTACATGAAGTTACTTTTTAGACTATTCTAGTGTTTGTTATGATTTTCTGATATTTATCTCTTGAAAGAAAGTTACCTTTTTTCATAGTTTTAAATACTCTAATCTAGTTTAACGAAGTTTACACATTAACATGAATTATCTCCTACTACTCATGTTCTTTAGTAGTATATTTATTTCGTTTAGTTCATAACACGCGTCACAAATCACAATTTGTGATCTTAGCTGGGTAGTTGTCAACTGGAAATCTGTTGACACCACAGTTTAATTTGATCATTCTCAAATAAGCTACACAAATTCAACTTATTTGAACAGATTAAGACAATTGGCTTCTAACTACTCAAGTTTGTTTGCCTGTAAACAAGTTTTAATTAACTTTTGAGCCTATCAGTTCGTAATCCTTTTAGTAATCAGTAGCGTAACAAGTGGATAACACCTTTTGTTCGCCTGCTTTGCATTTTGCTTATCTCATTGCTTTACTAGTGCAATTATATATATATATATATATATATATATATATATATATATATATATATATATATATATATATTCAACTTGTTTAATTTTGCCTGTCGATCTTCGAGTTTGTGCTACGAGACATCAGACATAAATCATCATCGTTGGCGAAATCCAAATCTTCTAGGGTCTTCTTCTTCATCGGTGCAGCCAGTGTACGCCCCTCTTCTCGCTCTTCAGGTTTTGCTGCATGATCCAATCCACCAGAATCAGGAAGATCATCGGTGATAGTAGATAGCCTTGTCTTACTCCTTCCTGTCTTCACTTCAATTATTCAATCTCCTCGAGGATCATGACAGCAAGATTCAACTCAAAAGGAGGGAAACTTGCAATCATACAATGCTACGCTACGCATCTACAAATAATACAGATCAAGAGAAGATGGAGACATATGGAAGCTGATGGAGGAGGGGAGGACGGTGAAGCAGAAGACGAACCAGTGCAAAAATGAACAATGAAAAGCGGAACTGAGTCCAACCTTTATAGCACTCGACAGGGAAGTGAAGGGGAGCTCGCGCAAAGACAAAAGACACTTCTACGACACACTGCCAAGTGAAGTAGAACAGGATGCTGGTAATAGAGACTTGACAACACTATATAAAATAACCAGGTTACTATCTGGGAAGAGATCAACGCAGATGAAACCAATGAAAGATAGTGAAGGAAGTGAAATTACCAAACGAAAGACACGAAAGAAACACTGGGTTAACCATTTTCAAGGAACTCTTGAAACTACCACCACCTGCAACTCGTCCAGAAATACCACCAGCAACCACAGAACTACCAGTGAACACAAACCCTCCGACGAAGGCAGAAGTGAAGTCCTGAACGCCATAAAGTTGCTGAAATGTGGGAAAGCAGCAGGACCAGATGGAGTGCCTCCAGAAGCACTGAAAACAGACGCAGATACATCAGCGGACATGCTCACATCACTACAGCGGAAGATTTCGAAAGAAGGAAGAAAACGTACCTGCCCATTGATTGGAAGAAGGACTATCTTGTCAAACTCCCAAAGAATGGAGACCTAAGCCTTTGCAAGAGCCAAGAACTTTCGCGGAATCACGCTTCATTCCTGTCCACCTCAAGCAAAATATTAGACCGCATCATCCTGGAAAGATTAAACGATGCTATGGATTCAACGAGATTGTCATCGGAACACGCTGGCTGGCTGGCTTCAGGAAGAACAAATCATGTGAGGATCAAATTGCAACACTACGCTACACATCAACATGGAACAGTGCATAGAATGCCAGTCAACTCTCCACCTTATCTCAACTTCATCCACTTTGAAAAGGCCTTTGACAGTGTCGACCGAGAAGTAATTTGGCAACTGCTTCAACATTATCAAGTACCACAAACCTTCATCGATCTCACTCAACAGCTATATGATGACGCCACATGTCAAGTGATTGACAATGGAAAGCTCAGTTACGCCTATGAAGTGACTGAGGAGTAAGACAAGGCTATCTACTATCACCGATGATCTTCCTGATTCTGGTGGATTGGATCATGCAGCAAAACCTGAAGAGCGAGAAGAGGGGCGTACACTGGCTGCATCGATGAAGAAGAAGACCCTAGAAGATTTGGATTTCGCCAACGATGATGATTTATGTCTGATGTCTCGTAGCACAAACTCGAAGATCGACAGGCCAAATCCAACAAGTTGACAGAAGAGACAAAAGCGGCGAAGACAGGACTTCCTTCAGTTAGGTGAACGTAGAGAATACAGAGGTGATGAAGATACCCAAACCAACCAACCAACCAACAACAACAACAAGACACATCAATGACCATCAACGGGTGAAATGTAGAGGAAGTAGTCTCTTTCACCTACCCACCTACCTACCTAGGCAGCATCGTTTCAACTACAGGCGACTGCGGGACAGATGAGGACGTCAAAGCCAGCCAGCATCGGAAAGACAGCAACACAGGCCTCCCTTCACTAACTTGAAATCAGTGTGGAGATACACTTCACTGCACTCAGCATAAAGCGTCAACAACATCCGGGTTTTCAATACCAATGTCAGTCAAGTCAGTGCCTTTATGTGATGGCTGAGAGACTTGGTGCCCCACAAAAAGCATTTCCAACAAACTACACACATTCATCAACAGCTGCCACCTACGCTGTCTCGATACTGAAGATGAGATCAGATGACCAGAATAGTCAGAATAAGCAACAAGGAATTTTAACCTACTGACGAACCACCCAACAAATATACACAAGGAAGTGGAGATGGATTGAGCATACACTGAGAAGATCATTCGGGGACATCATGCGACAGGCCAGGCCGTCGAGTGGAATTCAAAGTGGAAACGACGAGTTGGGTGTCTGAGGTGAGGGTGACATGGAGGAGGTCGTTTGGGGAAGAAATGAAAGCTTGTGGGCAGTTGTGGAGCGAGGTTCAAAAGACTGCAGAGAACAGAGTGAAATGGAGGTGTGCTACTGAAGCCCTATGTTCCACTAGGATTTCATGGAATAAAAAATAAGTAATCATAATTCTCTGGGATGAATACTTGTTTTCTTTTCGGAAATGTGTTTTGTTTCTATTGTATTATTATGCTGGCTCCTATTAACCCGTTTAGTTGATTTCAGATTAAAGTGACCCGAACTTTGAACTGGATGTGATTATTTCTGATAATCATGAATAATTGGAATAATAACTAAGTGTATGCTTTTCGGCGATGTATATTTGGATGGATTCATTAAGGTTGCTTTTTTTGTTGTTTTAAGTTGTATATACGCGCACAACTTATTTACTTGGCTTTGACTGAGTAACTTTATTGCCTGACGTATAAGTAGTACTCCGCTTCATATTTCATGCTCTTAGAGTTCAGAGATCATGACTGATCTTCATTCAGTTGACTTCTTTCACAATGCAATTAATTATATCGGTTATTGAATAGTTTTTTGGAAGTTTTTTTATGTTTTTTTTTCTTTCTAGTCAAATCATACTAGTTAGGATTATACTGTTTTATATGACATTTCATAGTATACTAAAATATTTCTTGAAAATACTTAGTTTCCACTATGAATTCGTATTTTCTTTATTTAGCATTATTGAAACATACATAATGAAAATAGTATTACAACGTATGAATCTTGGTTGGTTAAATGAAACTGTTTCTCAATATCATCGTGTATTGTACAGTCGATATTCTACTGGGACTTTAAATTATGTACCTTTGATTGGCTTAGAGATACATGCTCAATTGGCTGTACATAATAAACTATTCACAAGAGTACCCTATGTGTTCGGTGCACCGCCTAATTCATTGTTAGGCTTGCATGATATTGCAATGCCTGGTAGTATGCCAGTGAGTTGTTGATTTATTTACTTTATAAAAAAAAGGTCAAGTTGAAAATAATTTGGTTCAAAAATACAATGATTTGCTATATTCGAGTGATTGTGTTGTATCCTCTATGTAGTAGTTGTTGTGACTGATTACCTTTCTAGGATGAAAAGTTATTGAGAAAACTTTTATTTTGAAATACTTCCGACTCTACCTCATCTATACCATTGACACTTTTGGGATTGATGTAATGAAATAATTATGATGTCCAAGATATTGGGTAAGGTAAAACATGAATGTATCTCCATCATTGTGATAAATTTCAAGGGTATCCAACCGTCTGAGACTTCACTTCAATTTTCGACTCAGCTGTAAGTTCCAGGTCGGTTTTCAGATTGTGGATGTTTCAACACAGACATGGTGGATCGCCTCATTAGCCGAGTAGGAAATATTTGGGGAACGCATTCTTATGAAAACGAACAATTTTGTCAGGGTATTCTGTTACCACCTCCCCTCAAACTAATCAGTGTTATCCCAGAACCCTCACAACTATCAGGCTTTAACGCATGCGAATTCTCTGGGTAATCGGCTTGTTGACCGTAATCGCCTTCCTGTGGGGGAGACGTGCGTGGGATGCTTCTTACTAAAGGTTCCACAACTTTTTGAACTGAATGCAGTTCACTTTCTCGAGAAGACATCCCTCTAGGAGGTGTGGCTAATGAGCTTATAATGGTGACAGATTTGCGGTGGTGGCTCCCTTCGGGCTACTGGTTTGTAGCTAAGGTCAGGAGTAAGGTAACCAGGATTCCGGAGTGAATATCGCACCACTGATCTTGCACATATAGATCTTATAGACTGTGGTTTTCGCAAAGTCAACGTGACGGTGTATTGTTTGATAACAAACCCGATTACAAGGAGGTTAACCGTTGTACTCAAGTAGGCTCGATCCGTAATCCCCGGCGCATAGCATCCTCAGTTCTCATGAGCCAGCAACACAGACTTAACACCACTTAACTGTACCGTGTAGAGCTTCATGTTAACGTGCTGGCATGTAACTATGGGGCGTATCTACGCTGCCTGCAGAGTCATATCTACTCCTACCACTTTGGCATTGAGTTTTATGGAATAACTTTGTCGTCCAAGATATAGAGAACATGGTGATAAATGAATGCTTCTCCATCATTGTAATGAATTTCAAGTGTATCTAGGCATTTTAGTATTCTGCGTCTTCTCCAGTTTTACAATTCGACAGAACGTTACCGACCATGTGAACAGTTACGTGATTTTACAAGTCATGTGTAGTTCCAAGTCAGCAACTATAGATTTAGTTTCAAATTAGGCTTATATGCATGAGAAAAATAGCACTTCGACATATATTCCATGATAAAATCGTTGGTGGTATGCAAATAACTATGGAATAACTGTGATTACACTAGAAACTTGAATTCTGATCAAACTGTTGATCAATAATCACAGTTTCATAGTTGAAAGGTTGTTTTACAGTAATGAAAGTGACCAGCGAGAGTTTCTCAATAAAAGCAATTGTATATATATATATATATATATATATATATATATATATATATATATATATATATCTTTATTTCCTGACTAATTATTATTTCTGATGTTGTTGTTTTTTCTTGGCATATATAATTGATGAATAGATACTAAATCGACAATGTCTTGAATTGGCATTAGTTGCTTCCCTTGGATTAAATTGTAAAATCAATATGACTTCACGTTTTGATCGTAAACACTATTTTTATGCTGATTTACCAGCTGGTTATCAAATTACACAATATTATCAACCATTAGCTGAATATGGTTATCTTGATTATATTTGGTTACCAAATTCATGGGAGACAAAAATTTCACCATTATATACAGAAATTGTAAATAGTATTACTGGTCAAAGTTATTATCGTTCACGTGCACGTATTACACGTATACAAATTGAACAAGATTCTGGTAAAAGTTTACATAATATTCAACGTGATTGTAGTTTAATTGACTTAAACCGTTCAGGTAAGCTAAAGCAATAATTATTATATTATTTGGTAGAAAATATGAGATTGATTACTCTCTAGTCCTATAGGAGATCAGATACAGCCTGAATAACTTATTGATAACGTTGTTGACTGTATCACTGGGTTATGCACGTTCAAATTTCATGCTAGACACTAGTTCCGTTAAGATGATGTATACACCTAGATTGAATAAAGCTTCTTGTTGATTACTTTCAACCAAACTATGCTGTTATAATGAACCTCCTAGTTTTGGTGACCGAATCGCAAAATGATCGATAGAATTATGATCAACCCTCAAGATTAGATAAGATCGGTTGCTCTTCAGTGATCAGTCGATATCTCGGTTTATGTAATCAGTTTGGTCTAATAAACTTAGGTTTGTAGAAATCTGATGGTTGTCTCTTAAGGTCAATCAATATGCCGATGATAATCATTGTTAGATGGTGAGATTTAATGTACTTGGTGTCTTAGTCTGCTTTTACTCTTACATAAAGATTTCTTGCAGTTAGCGTCGAACCTAGACATGTTACAGACAGCATTAAATGTCTGGAAGATAGGCATTGTAGGGTTAATTTTAATAGCTGATTCTACAACGGTACAGTTGGTTCATTATCATCTTTTGATCAAACTGTGTCGTGCTCAGAGAATATTCTGGGGTACATACTAATAGGCCAGTTACCGTTGTCAACATCTTTAATACTTCGATGAAAGCCGACAAACAAGAAAAAAGGGAAAAAAAATATATGTTTAAATGAAAATTTTACTATTTCCGCAAGCGACACTCATATAAGCAGACAGATAATTTGATCTTGTTCAAATAAGATAATGATCTGATCTGCAAACTTGTGCATATCAGTACAGCAGTTGATGAATTGATGTTACTACGTAGCTATTTAAACCTTGATAATTGAAAGGGTGTTCAAACCCACGACCAATGAGAGTCACAAGTCGGCGAAAGTAGAGATAACCAATTAGGGAACACTTTCAGAATGTGAAGGAGGTTTGAGTTAACCTTTATGACGTTTTAAAGGGTGTGAAAAGAGTGGATTTAGATGTCTGTGGAATAAAAATTAACTTTTAAACTAATTTTCAAACTGCCTTTCACCTCTTCTTTTGAATATATTAAATTTGGAAACGTACTATCTTGAATCTTCCGTCAGTTCATATTTGCATCAGACTTATCAAGGCTTGTGATCTAGATTTAATTTGAACTCTTCTTGATCGGTGACTTTCCATTTATGCTGTTGTTCTGTATACCTAGCTGATTTCTGTTGACCCATGTGTGTGTTATACGGTTCGTCACATATTCTTGCAACTGCCATTTCTTTGATATACATGTTATCTCCAAGTCTTTCATATTGAATACAGGCATAATTCTTAATGTTGGAGTGGATTATCCATTCTGTGGATAGGATTGCACGGTATTGTTTTCTCAGCTTACGTTCCATTAAAGTGTTTCTGGCAGATTGGTGGTTTGCTCATGCAACTTAACTGTTGTGTACAGTGTTGTGTACATATATTAGACGATGTTTAGATGGTAGAAATCTTCAGAGTTTTGAGGATTAACTTGAAATAATTGTTTTCAGTAAATCAATGGGAAGAAGAAACGATCAATATCATTTGTAATATTATTCCTATAGGATTTTCGTATAATAAGTGATCATTGGAAAACACATGCAATCAATTTATTTCAACCAAGAATTTACAACGTTCAATAAGGGGTCATGAGAAAATATTGTAGTGCTTGAAGTGATCTTAATAACGATACTTCTTCACTGCTAATCACATCTTGTTGTCAATTCGATCATTTAAAGTTTACCCTAACATTCATATGAATCAGATACAGATAATTATCTTTTCGTATTTTACTTACATTCTTTCTAACTCTTTTAACCTCAGCTGGGAAGTGAGTGAATAATCAATTGTTGACCAAACTGTATGACACAATCTTCATTGGTACAACTATAATTTTTATGGAAGATATTTTTCTGAAAAGTTATTTTCTTGGTGATAGCGAGCAGTGGAAATCACGACATATATTCCCTTCTCTTTGGATATCATCAATTAGATATATCTGTGTGTGTGAGTGTGTGAAAATCAACTGATGAGTGAGCGCTATTGAAATGGTTTAGAAGAACACAATGAATACATATATACCTATCAAAGACTGAAAACGTATCATGCATGTATTCACAGTACAACTCCATATTGACAATTGGATCTTTCAAAGCATCATTTTCTAATTTTACCAAAAATATGTCTGCAAATATTCGTCCCAATGGAGATCCAATAACCACTCCATCAGCTTCTATGTATGAACTAGTGTTAAAGATGAACTGGATTCTCGTTGTATCTAACCGATGACTGTTCAACATACTAGAGACTGTCACAATGTGACTGATCAAACTTGAATTCTGCAATTATACAGAACATGTCCAAGAGTTACCTCTCCCTTTGACCTTGAGTAAACTAAAAGCCACTCCCGTCTTCGTCATCTGTTTGTTCACTGCAACATCATTCATCTGCATATGTATATCATTCCAATATTGATGAATTTAAGAAGAAAAGTCGATTTCCTTACAATCATTAATACTCACTCCATTTTGAATGTGTATCTGCCGGTAACTTGGCTTGATTTTACGCTGTACAGATGCATTCTATAATTGTAGAAACTGATGAGAATTTATTGAGAAGAAATATTCTCCATTGTTCAAATTGTTGCTTTTTTATTCTTGATTAATCAAATATATTTACAGGTGAGTAGTAAACAGCTCTTTAACCATATTTTCTGCTAGATTGAATTAATCACAAGAAATCCATAATATTCATGAGGTCTGATAATATGTCTCTGGGTACTGTGATCATAATCAGTGATTTTGAGTAACTCAATTGCTGCTAAATATTTACCAGTTTCATTACATTCTTTCAAGTTACAATGAATTATACTCAATTTCTTTATATGCATTAAATGTGAAGTGTTTATGAACAGGAGAATCAACACTTCAACCTTGAAAATTTATATTTATTGGTTAACAAACCAATCGTGTACATACATCCTATCGGTTATAAGCTTACAAACAGTTAGATCGTCATCTGCACACTTAACACAGAACGATATACCTTTTACTTAAGTTATTGATGCTTGTGATTCCGTGTTGACTGGTATACTGGATCGAAGTGATCAATCCCTGTTGGGATATAAACTACTTGAACGCATGCCTCAATATTACAGTAGTTAACATTTTGATTTTATCTGTTTGTTGATTGCTAGCAGTGGAATCTAGGACGCATCACTTCATATTGCTAGAGCGTTATACACTAGGCCAGGGAATCATGGGAGAGAAGTCTTCTGCAGTCGGCACACCTAGTTGGTAGATATGACCCTGTGATTTGAAGAGATAATTGCATACTAGATTGTTTATTTCATGCAATACACGGTGATACAGTATAATTTACATGATGACCTTTCGAACAGAATTTATTGCTCATATTCACATCTCAAAGTAATCAATCATACGACTTTCAAACTTCCTTCATTTACTCCAACGGTTCTGCATTCTTTCATCTTAATGGTAGTAAGATCTTCGAGATATCTGCAATATGTGATGAGTTATTCCTGTTTGTATGTGCTACGTGCTGGTTGATTCAATGAACAAAGATTTTGTGGTCAATCTCTCCATCATCCACCTACGTGTATTGGACTTTAATATTTTCACCTTATCTCACCCTACAGGATGTGATTAAGGGTCAATGGATGGAGAGCAATAGCTGAGTTTTCCCCTAAATTACTTATCTTAGTAGGGTCAACCATTATATGTTTGGTTAGACTTTTGTGTTCTGCTATTCTGACTGACACTGATCGGCATCTTAGACTCATAGTCATTATATGCTTTATGACAGATTAGGTTATTTTTTAAATTTGGTTTTACTGGAGATCTTTTACCTTGCAAAGTTTCTCTCTGAGTGAGTTTGTGGTTTAAATGCCACTTTACTTCTAGCCAGTACTGTTAAGAATTCCGCGTAAAATTTCCGATGAACCCTCTTTATACTGCAACACTACAGAGGATTTGAATTCCTTCTTAGACATTTTGCGATCACCACTAACATTACCACTCCTTCTCTAATCAGTTCTTATAAATTGGTTGGTTGTGGCTAACAGATCGAACAATTCGATCCAACAAAACAACGGAGAATAACAAGTATGTCAATATATAGTAATAAGTTCGTATAAAGGTTTTAATAAATTCCGTACTTAGGCTCTCCAACCTATTAGTCAAACTCCTAGCTCGATTACTTAAACATTTTATCAAGCCTACTTTGACAGACATAGTGTGAGATGATGTGAAATTCAAGTATCTATTTAGCGAAACGTATAATGGTTGACCCTACTAAGATAAGTAATTTAGGGGAAAACTCAGCTATTGCTCTCCATCCATTGACCCTTAATCACATCCTGTAGGGTGAGATAAGGTGAAAATATTAAAGTCCAATACACGTAGGTGGATGATGGAGAGATTGACCACAAAATCTTTGTTCATTGAATCAACCAGCACGTAGCACATACAAACAGGAATAACTCATCACATATTGCAGATATCTCGAAGATCTTACTACCATTAAGATGAAAGAATGCAGAACCGTTGGAGTAAATGAAGGAAGTTTGAAAGTCGTATGATTGATTACTTTGAGATGTGAATATGAGCAATAAATTCTGTTCGAAAGGTCATCATGTAAATTATACTGTATCACCGTGTATTGCATGAAATAAACAATCTAGTATGCAATTATCTCTTCAAATCACAGGGTCATATCTACCAACTAGGTGTGCCGACTGCAGAAGACTTCTCTCCATGATTCCCTGGCCTAGTGTATAACGCTCTAGCAATATGAAGTGATGCGTCCTAGATTCCACTGCTAGCAATCAACAAACAGATAAAATCAAAATGTTAACTACTGTAATATTGAGGCATGCGTTCAAGTAGTTTATATCCCAACAGGGATTGATCACTTCGATCCAGTATACCAGTCAACACGGAATCACAAGCATCAATAACTTAAGTAAAAGGTATATCGTTCTGTGTTAGGTGTGCAGATGACGATCTAACTGTTTGTAAGCTTATAACCGATAGGATGTATGTACACGATTGGTTTGTTAACCAATAAATATAAATTTTCAAGGTTGAAGTGTTGATTCTCCTGTTCATAAACACTTCACATTTAATGCATATAAAGAAATTGAGTATAATTCATTGTAACTTGAAAGAATGTAATGAAACTGGTAAATATTTAGCAGCAATTGAGTTACTCAAAATCACTGATTATGATCACAGTACCCAGAGACATATTATCAGACCTCATGAATATTATGGATTTCTTGTGATTAATTCAATCTAGCAGAAAATATGGTTAAAGAGCTGTTTACTACTCACCTGTAAATATATTTGATTAATCAAGAATAAAAAAGCAACAATTTGAACAATGGAGAATATTTCTTCTCAATAAATCCTCATCAGTTTCTACAATTATAGAATGCATCTGTACAGCGTAAAATCAAGCCAAGTTACCGGCAGATACACATTCAAAATGGAGTGAGTATTAATGATTGTAAGGAAATCGACTTTTCTTCTTAAATTCATCAATATTGGAATGATATACATATGCAGATGAATGATGTTGCAGTGAACAAACAGATGACGAAGACGGGAGTGGCTTTTAGTTTACTCAAGGTCAAAGGGAGAGGTAACTCTTGGACATGTTCTGTATAATTGCAGAATTCAAGTTTGATCAGTCACATTGTGACAGTCTCTAGTATGTTGAACAGTCATCGGTTAGATACAACGAGAATCCAGTTCATCTTTAACACTAGTTCATACATAGAAGCTGATGGAGTGGTTATTGGATCTCCATTGGGACGAATATTTGCAGACATATTTTTGGTAAAATTAGAAAATGATGCTTTGAAAGATCAAATTGTCAATATGGAGTTGTACTGTGAATACATGCATGATACGTTTTCAGTCTTTGATAGGTATATATGTATTCATTGTGTTCTTCTAAATCATTTCAATAGCGCTCACTCATCAGTTGATTTCACATATAAAAATGATATCAATGATTCAATATATTTTGTTGATGTGCTATTGAGAAGGAAATATGTTGGTTCTATACTGATAAGTATGTGTGGAAGACTGATATCTAAGGCACACTATATGCACTTTCTCCATTTAGAGCCGATGGAGTAGAGAGATAAAATAATCAGGCATGTGGCATATAGATGAAGGTCAATTTGTTCCAAGGAGACAAACTACTGTTTTTCTATGATATTCTAAGTGAAAACGGATATGTGAAGAACTTCGTGAGAGCTAAGGTTTATTACATTGGTCCTTAACGAGAATGAATGATAGCCTAAAAGAAACGTTTCTTTCTGCGCTTACAATGCAAGGGAGATGCTGCAAGTGATATTATATCGTAGCACTCGGCTACAGCAGTCACTAGGATGTTTTATGCAGATCGGATTTGTATATCATTCAGTTGTCGGCCAATGTTCAATCCGAGACTAGACTATAGTCCAGTGTAGCTACCCAATCTTAGCTCTTTGTCTTGCATATAACAACTCAACTGTTCATGTGGAACTAATTACATAAAACGTACGATTAGGCAGGTGCATTTCCTGATAAGAGAGTGTTTACCAGCTTGATTCTGAAAAGATGAAGTGAAAGTGGTGAATAGTTCAGTCCTTACCCACCTAGTAGACACAGGGTATCACACAAATGCTAATCAAGCCTTCAATATCACTTATCGTATTCTAGAACCGATACCACATGTAGCTCACTAACCCGTGCTCAGCATAGCAGAGACTGTCACAATGAGATTGATCAAACCTGAATTCTGTATTTAGAAAAAACATGTCCAAGAGTTACGCCTCTCTTGACCTTCAGTAAACTAAATGTTACTCATGTCTTCTTTATTCGTTATCATTTTGTTCAGTACACATTCATCTAGATATGTATCATCCCAACATTGAGAAATTTGAGGAGAAAAGTCCATTTACTTTCAATCCTAGATTTCACTTCTAACGTGGATTAATTTCACGCTGTCTAAATGCATTTTATAATGATAAGACGTGAATAGAATTTGTTGTGACGAATATTATTCATTCAGATTGTTACTTTTTATCAGTGTTATGAGAATCTTTTGTTGTTTGAAATGAAAAATAAATTATTGTATTTAAATTCATTTATTTTAGATGTTGGACTTATTGAAATTGTCACTGAACCAGATTTCAATTCTTCTGATCAAACTGCTGCATTTATAGCAGATTTAGCACGTCTACTGAAATACTTAAAATGCTGTAATGCTATTGGTGCATTTGGTGAATTACGTGTTGATGTCAACGTTTCTATTGGTCAAGATGCAGCCAATCAAAATCCTCGAGTTGAAGTAAAAAATATAAATTGTATTCGAGGCGTGATTAGTTCTATCGGTTAGCTTAATAACTGCATTATTTTGATATTGTTAAGCAAATTATAAACATAAACAGTTTATTCATCGATACTACTTTCAAAAATGAGTGCATCATTCGTATGTAAGCAATAAAGTTGGATCCTTTTCATAGACTAGTCTACCGAACCGTTTTTTTATTTGACAACGAATACAGGTATACCCCTCGGTGCCTGGAAATAGCTATGTCTAATAGTCTGAAGCCTGAATTGGACTGCATTTAGGTCGAGGTCTAACAGTAGTGTCTGCCTCAGTAAGAAGTAGTTCACTCTGCTACAGGTGCAGTATTCAAACACCTATGGGGATGTTAGAATCTATGTTCAGAAAGTAGATGAGTTATGTACATTGAATAGTTTTCGTAGGGGATGTCACCATCTCCATTTTTGTTCAACTTTATCGAAGATGTACCTATGAAGGTCTGCCTCTCATTGTCTGACTTCACACGGATTGATCTTATCCAAAAGAATCCTAAATGGTTCTAAGACATGTAGATGACATAATCTTGTTAGGTGAAAACGCAGTCTTTTTGACACGTTGAGTGACAATTTGAAAATGTTTGGAATGTGTTTCTCATCAGCCAAATGGAAATCGCTCCAGGACTGGTATGTGTTGCTATCTTGTTTAACAGTGGGGAGTGAAGTGGTTGAGTGCATTGACCATTTCACTTACCTGAGAAGTCGAATCAGCCCGTGATAGGTCAGTGGCGGACAAAATCTCTGCATGGATACAAAAAGTCCGATTACCTTCCGCCAAATTAGGCCGTTTATGATGCCGCTGTGACATGCGATAGCGTAATAAGTGTCGAGTGTAATGTATGGCTGCTCGCTCTGTTCTACTATATGGCTGTGAAAGATAGTGATTAAAGTTGGTGGAGACAAGGAGGCTTAAGGTGTTCGAACTCTGTTACCTTCGTAGCATAAGCGATGTGTTGTGCTGCCACCGGGTCAGTAATCTAGAAGTTACGTGCAGAGCATTCGGTATTAGACGAAAGTCCGTTGACGAGGTTGTCAACCTTCATCGACTGAGATGGCTGGGACATATGTTATGCTTGCTATGTCTGGTCACCATCTCTGACGAGCGATGTTAACTGAAGTAGGTGGGCAAATTAAGATATGACGTCAGTAACTCAAGTACCTGACTTTTGTTCTGAGTGGTATAGGGAAATATTGACTTGTAGTTTGGGGACTCTATGGTGACCGAGATGGATGATTGGAGACTAGGTGATATAGCTCAGACTTTTCCACACAATATCTTCATCCTAGTAGTCATATCTAACTTCTCTTTTTATAATTCTAGACTAATTTTTGGGCTTTTTTCTGTCTTTGATTTTAACACTGCCTACCTTCGTGTGCTGATATTGAGTGTGAGCAGCGTTATGCAGTAATTTCAAGTCCCATGTTGATATTAACTGGGCGATAATGACTAGGATTTTATCCACCAGTGAGTTCGCTTCAATGCTGTTTACTGCTTGTATAAACAATCTTTCAACTTAAGACTCATATTCATGATATATTTGAATAGTAAATCTGTTGGGAAGTTAATTGCAGTTCCAGTATCTTGGTTGTACTCTGTTCCTTGAGTTGGGTTGTTTACTTCTGAAGCTTTTATTGTCTCTCTAGACAATATTGTCAGCCCTAACATCAATATGAAGTGATCTGTCAGTATTTCTTCTTGAGTGATTCATTAGCCTATCCTGACAAAGTGGTTTGTGACTGATAGTTTCTTCTGACTGTTGTTGCATTGGCTCCAGAGGTTTTTTTGTTGGGTGTTTCTCTGTGTGATCACTGACCTCACAGTTGTTTATCACTTTTTTTTTATTGGCTGATAGTTTGGGTCTATATCTATGCATCTGTTGATTACTGATTTACCTGAATGCCAAGCTTCTAAGGATTTTCTGATATTCTTTATGTTTCCTCTCTCTGTTCAAGATCTCTACATTGTTAAAATTGAATTCATGCCTATAATTTTGCCAATACATTAATATAAGCGACAAAATGTCGTAAGGTTCAATAACCAACTAATGTTAATCTAAACGAAGGTGGAAAGGGTGATTACTTTGTCCAATGTACTGCTGATAATAGCAGTTACGGCAATTGATTTTGTAAATGGTATTTATTTTATCTTCTTTGACTATTGAATCATATGGTTTGAAGGGAATTTGTTGTTTCTTGAGCCATATCAATTCCAGTTGTTTCCAGTAGTCTTGTGATGATCTCTGATATATTCTTTGTTTACAGTAGAATGATCCACTTGTTGATTTCTGTCGATGAATTTGTAGTGTTGATGATGCACGAGATAGGCATCTTCTGACAAAGTTTCATGGGTAGCCGTTCTTCTTTGGGATAGATATAAAGTAATTTTCTTCTTTTCTCTGTGAAGTTGTTTTATTCCATTATTATTAGATCCTTCCCCTTTTGAATAAAGTCTGTACGGAACTAATTTTGTGCTGTATTGGATTTTCGTAACTATAGTTAAGCATTTATTCAGTATATATTCGCTTGCATACACTTGAATCTCCAGTTTTGCTAGCGTCAGTTATTTACACTAAGATATCCAGGAATGACAATTCGTTGTTCAACTCCTACTCTATTGTGAGTTCGATATCGTTGAAAACGTTATTATCATATTGTGAGTGTTTTCTAATTCTAATGATAATAAAAATATCATCCACTTAGCGGATCCAAATTTTCAATTTGATCATGGGTAAAGTGATGGCTTCTAACCTCTGCATTACCACTTCTACAGTTGATCCAGATATCGGTGATGTTGTTGGGTTTTTTTTCCATCTGTTAGTATATCTTACCATCAGATTGGAAGTATGTTGTCAGACAAAAGTTGATGAGTTCCATCAGACTTAAACATTGAAGTTTTGTGCTTTTTAAAAGATTTGTGTCTTCAGTGAGGAGGAGAAATATAGTATCGTTGGTCAGTTGTACTTCTATTCATGTATATAATTCTGTGACATCGCAGTATACCATTAATTAATTGTTTTCTATAATAATACCTCTGATCCTTTCTAAGAATTCTGTCAGTGGTTTCTTGGAGTGTCCGCATGACTGGCATAAAGTATTTGAATTTTCTCGAAGGCTCTCTGAATTGATTGTAAGTTGGGGTCCCTTGAAGTAAGACTAGTTATAGTATATATATCCCCTCTCTGTTCATCTGTTTTTGGTGCAGAGCTAAGTTTCTCTATGAGTTTCACAGTTGTGAACACGCTGTTACACTTGTTGTTATAATTGTATCCGTGATATTCAAATATTTAATCTATTCAGAAAATTTGAGCTTTCATTACTCACAAGTTTCAAGACGAGTACATATCACTTACAGTAAGTTGGATTTCAGACGTGTAATCTGTGTTCTTTCTGTTGATGACATCAGTCAAATAAAGTGTCTATGACTGCATTCTACTTCGATTTGGTAGAGTGGGTATTAAGTCTATCAGCTGGGTGTAAATATTTTTTTGCACTAATTATCTTTATTTACGTGTTTTATTCTATTGTAACCGCACGACAGAATTCAAGAAAATCTTATCTAGCTAACTGAGTTGTTAGTTTCATAATCTCATCTACTTACTGACTTACTTGTTTTGGTCATAGATATCCGCTTAAAATCAAATAGTGTTTACTTGATGGTGTCAACAATGATTTCAAAGGCCATGTTAGCAACTGTTAAGGATAGGTAATTGCACTTGTCTATTTTATAAAACAAGATGGCGACAAGTAAAGTGCCTAAAACTGTAATAATAATGGTAATGATGATGATAATTGCAAACGTTTGTGATATGAAGGAATGGGAGGGTGATGTTTTTTCACTCAAGCAATCAAGGTCAACATAGGACCAGACATTGCTGCGTAACGGTCCAAGTTGCCACACCTTATGTCAACACATCAAGAAACAAATCAATAAAATGTAAAATGAAGAAGGAAAGAAAAATTGGTTGAAGGAAGTAGAAGTAGAAAGTAGTAGAAGAGAGAAAGGAAGAATGAGATGATGAGATTAAGTATGACGGTTAAGATGAGGATAATGTTTGTATATATCTGCTCCACTGACTTCGATTCTGAGCTATATCACCTAGGGTCAGTCTCCGACCACTGATTTCTCCTATCCCGTGGACCCCAACCGGCTAGTCTACATCGCCCCACATGGCTCAAACCAACAGTTAGAGACTTCATACATTGATGCTATGTTTTAGTCTGGCCATCTCGAGCCTTTTTTCAGCGTGGACCTACTTTGGTCAACATTGTGTAACGAGGCAATCGGTGACTAGGCATAGGTAGTACATATCCCAGCCATCTCAATCGATGAAGGTTCACAATCTCGTCATCTGTCTTACTTCTCCAGCCTAAAACTCTACACCTGTCTTGTGCGTTACTCACTTGGTGACACCACGGAATATCGCCTATACTACGAAGGCGGTGGTGGTCAAACACCTGAAGTCTTCTCACGTCTTCTACTTTTAATAGCCATGTTTCACGACCGTACAGTAGAACAGAGCGGACTACAGCACAGTATACTCGAACCTTAATAGACAAATAGGCAAGGCAAAGACCGACTTGGCTTGTTCAGGTGGATTACGTTGGCTTTTGATGTATGTAAAAGATGAACTTGCAGAGTATAGATAAGATTAGAAGGAATGTTATCAATAATATTAGAGGCTTTGTGAATATAAACTCGGTGACCAGTGTCAGCCAGATGAGAGAGTATTCAGCTCTGTATCGATCTTGCTTACCTTTTACTTAACTATGACGGATGATGTTCAGCGATTCGATGACTACTTTCGTATCCGAAATACAGGAATTTGATTGGCTATTCCGACGGTTGCTATGATGGTCTATAATATCAGTTTTGTAGTGAAATATCTTTGGTGTTTTCAATATGGTTAGCCTTTTTTACTGTTTGTTCTAATTCATTTACGTTCTGATTAGGCTATCTAAGCTTTTAAGATCTTTTGTATTTTCCATATACAGTATAACTGTGTATTGTGTTTAGGAACAGTCTAACTTTATCTTCTCTTTGAGTCACCTGGTATGCTGTTTATGGTAGTAAGATCAGTTGGAATACAGTACCTCAAGGCAGTAATAGTTGTTCGGATCAGTATACGATATTTCCCTCGTCCGGTAATCAAAGCACCTAATAGGAAAGTCTAACCGAGGTGAAGACCAGAACATGGACCAAACTGTTGAGACAAGGGTATGACAAATGCATTCATTAAAGGGTGTTCTATGTATATCCTGCATTCCACCGTTACGAGTATCACTGATAGACTGGTTCACTGATTATTCATCTTAATGGATTATGTAAGTTTTTATCGGTTTGCTTATCCTTCTGTTTTATGTGATGTTTTTGTTTCTTTAAAACAATTTTAGACTATGAAATTAAACGTCAAACAGATATTCTAAATTCTGGTGGTCAAATTACTCAGGAAACTAGATCCTATGATCCCGTGAATGAGTAAGTTTACATTCATTTGAAAACAGTTATGGTAAGACAGTTGAATAGTTGAGATGCCATTCAGTTGGCGTTTATAATCCAAAGGTACATTGATTAGTCGCTGGAGAGGGTAACCAACTTAATATTGTCTAGGCCCTAAGAGCTGATCGAAGTCTGTCGATCATCTTACAATGAATCCACCTAGCTAGGTGACTCAACATCGTGATACATTTGGATAGATGTTCGTTGGATGGAGGCAATCATCAGGAAGACCTGAACATAAATTTTGGTGCTTTCTGGAACTCGTCAACAAGGTGTGTTTGGAACCTCTACAGAACTGATATCTAGTATGATTTTTAAACCCGCGCCACTCATTGATGCAGTCAGAGACGTTACCACTGAGCAAGAGTTAAATGAGATTCAATGACCAGTATTAACCTGGTGTACTATTACCGCACTTCTTCAAGATCCGCTGTTATCTCCTTGTAACCACGGGAAATAGTGTCTTAGAGCCCCTTTTTATAGGACCTGAGTCGAACGACCGATTTACTTGACTCTACAGAAGCAAAGGAACTGACATGTACACATTAGGGTGCCCAGACATAAGATCTCGTCTTTCACGTTTCTCCTAGGTATAGAGTGACTAGAGAGTTTCTGCAAGAATGTTTCCTTCAGGGACTTTGAAATCCTTCTCTTTAAGATAACAATATTTGTAACACCTTTTGAAGTCAACGTTCTTATGTTTCTATAGTACACTTAGTTATCAGATTAGGAACGAGAAGATTGAAACGAAGGAAGGAATGTCTATTGTTAATAAGTAGTACAATAGTCATTAAATATGGTACACCTTGCATTAAGACCGACATTTGGAAAATGTGCTTTATTTCCTCTTCTGCTTCTCTCTTGATTTGCTCTTTATACGCCTTTGTTGTGCTTTGCTTTTCTCTTGGCAGAATCCTTACCCATTGCTGTTAATTTCCTATGATTTATGCCACCCTCTCAATATATACTACTTATATCCATTCTTATCAGCAACACCCACTACACGGGTACAGGGGGTTGTGGTTTGAAGGGGAATCGAGATCTTTGTTTTTAGAACCTGTTATCTTAGTATGCTGATGTTTCTATTGGTTTGCTTTAAACATCAAAGTGTTGTCTACTACTCTTTAGAATCAAGATAGTCTTTTCTTGTACAACCAATATCAGCTGTTGTCGTCGTCGTTTTTATGGTCGACAGAGACGCCAATACTGTTTTGCATGTAATTACGTCCAGCTGGTGATTTCCACATAGAGTAGGATGCGTAAATTAGACCCCATCGGTAGTAATCATCAAACAAGCGATATTGGGGTATTTCGAAGCATCTGCTCAAATGATCCAGTATTCCAGTTCTCTGTTACGTTGAAGACGCGCGCATAAAAAGAATCCCAATCAGTAATTACTTGCAGAATCTTGTTCTAAGCAATGAGCTACATCTATTGTGTAAGGTCTGTTATGCCACAGGGTTGGTCAAACCTTCGTAAGGTGGATCACGCTTAGAATACCACTATCCTCTGATTGGAAATCGGGTGCATATTAACATTTCTCTAAATGTACAAAATTACGTTTCAGGGTTTTGCTTGATTACCATATGAATTCGTGACACGTTACTATCGCTTGATTGTATTCACACTGGCTGACCTTGATGGTTGAAGGTGAAATAAAAATCTGGTCAGCAGTCGGACCTGTTAACTCAGTTGGTAGAGCATTGGGCTGGGAACCCGGTGGTCGCTGGTTCGAGTCCGGCCACGATCCTGATTTTCATTTCATCTTCAATCATCACCCAAATCAAATTATTATTTATATATAAGGATGGTGATTATTTGTTATGCACTTTCATCATAGTCCAAATGAGGTGTGATTTAATTTATTTACTAGATAAGCGGAGATTATGGGTATAGAGCAGATTGATCAGCTGATGAAGTTATACCACTTCATAGACTTGATGAGTGTGAGTAGACTTTAAAATGTTAAAAAATACAACTCTACTTCATGAAGATATGTGAGGTGATAATACTACTCCAGGTATCCAAGCCAAAGTAGATATGGTGGAGCTTGTAGTCAATATCCATTGCTTTAAGATTAAGTGTTGAAGCTAGTAAAATCTTATGTGCCTCGATCTAACACCTAGTTAATCATGTTACCCTAATCGGAGTTGGGGTTGTGGTAGACAAATTCTAAAAATGTTCAAAACAAGATATTATGCAAAAGCATAAAGTTTTCAGTTTTTAATTTAAACTGTCTTCTTTGGTTAAAGTCTATGAAAGGGAGTCGAAGTCAGTCATTCGAAGCATCGAATGGTGTAGGCATACTTGCGTTAGAATGCTTAGCTTTGATTTTTTGTTCATCGTTTCACTGATGGATTACTATTCATTATTTCTTAATACATATATATATATATATTTTTAGTGTAACATTACGAATGCGAGATAAAGAATTGGCACAAGACTATCGTTATATACCAGAACCAAATTTACCAGCTGTAAAACTTCTACAAAATTGTTCTCTATGTTCACCTCATTCATCTTCATATAGTATGAATAAGTCACCTTCAACAAGATCTTCATTATCACCATCTACATCTTCAATTGATAATAAAGTCTGTATGCAATGTATTAAACAAAAGTATCAATTACATTCTATTAACTGGGAAATAAATTTACCTCAGTATAAAAAACAAAAACTTCTCCTTGAATATGGTTTACCTATGGATCGTGCTACTGTCTTAACTGAACATATTGAACTATTCACATTGTATGAATCAACATTGAAATATTTAACTGATAATTGTTTAATTCATAACAACAATGAAACATTTAATATATTAATTTATGCTAAAGAATTAGGTTTTTGGACTAGTGGACATTTATTTGGTCTAATAAAAAATGAAACATTGAAACGGTAAGTTTAATGTTTTTTGTTTAGTAGAATTAATTCTGTTAGAAAAGCTAAAATTCCTTTTTAATACCTTTAATTTACTGTTGGATAACATTGATAAATGGCGTCAAGTATGTTCTCTGTGACTTCTTGAATTATGGAATCAATCTTTGACTTTGTTCTTAGATTACTCTTGTTAAATACGCTCCCGTTTACGTCATATTTAGCTATAGGTTACAAACTGGTTTCATTCTTTAATATAAGAGTAAAACTTGGACACTATGGTAGATTGTAATTCCATTTTTAGTTTGTTTGTACAAGGAAACCACCCGAGAAGCAGTACGAAGAATTCTTAATAAGGTTAGCTGAGATTAAAGTAGCATTTAAACGAACAAACTCACTTAAAAACAGACTTTGTAGGTTAAAAGATCCCATTGATGCAATTAGGTAAAATAATCTAGTTTACCAATTCCTTTGCAATGATTACGAGGTGAAATACATAGGTCAAAGCAGTTAACAAGGGTCAATTAGAATACCAGAGCACAAAATCTTAGCTTAATCAACATTAGTAGATCCTAATAAGATAAGAAATTAAGAGAAAAGCTCGGCTATAGCTCTGCACCTAACTACACACAATTCCATAAAGTGAGATAGAGCAACAGCGTTAAAAACTAAGTTGGGTAGAGGGAGAGATTGATAATCGAATCTTTATTAATCGAATCAACACCAAATACATGCAGTAATAGGAATGGTTTTGTACGTGTCTCAGATATATAGAAAATTCTACTACCCTTTTCATCTCAAAGTTCTGAAGTTGGTTATGCGATATAAATATGCACGACAAATTGTCTCCAAAAGCTATATTATCCAGTAAATGATACTGTTTCTTCACTGTATAATATTTCTAATAAAGAGACTAAAATGGCTGTATTCTTATTTTTCTGAAAGACAACAGTATACGGTCTATAAAAAGGGAGGCGCTCCACTTCATGACTTACTGAGATCGATGTAATTCAAGTGGCAGTACTTTCTCTGTTTATTTTCTTTTTGTATGATTTGCCTTAGTCTGGTGAAATTAATTTTATTAAGTGTGCCGGTGATCTGGCAGTTTCTGTTCCAGTTATCTCCTCTCACTTAGATTGCTCTCAAGTAAGTGATTTCTCATCTGAAATTTGTTAATGGTTTTTGTCAAATCTGTTGTTTTATGTGTTACATAAAAAAGCTGAAACTGTCTGGTATAACTCAGCGTCTACTTTTACAACTTAATTATTCCTGTGTTTTATCTATTCTTCTTTATTATCCTCGGTTCTTTTTTCTTGGTCTACGAGAAAAGGACTATATTATATTGTGTAGGGTTTTAAAATCCGTCAGTATAGTTGACAGACATTTGAATTCAACCAAGACACTAGCTACAGTCATTTTTATCTGATACTGAGCATCCACTTTATTCACATCTCTGTCTTTGTATCTTGTCAAGGCTGACTAAAAGAAATTATATAAGATTGTACGCTCGTATAGTTAAATATAAGAATTCAACTGTACCTTACCAGGGAAGCATCTTATATGAAGAAGAAAGTGTTAGAATTGAACTCACTTATGAACTTTATAACAGTTAACAACCAGTCTTTTCAATATCCTAAACATTCTTATATCATTATCTTCATTACTTATGTTATTCATATAATTTAAATGACAAGAATGAAAGAAATGTTGTAAATGGAGTACGTTTTGGTTACAGTGTTTACATGGTAAGGATTTTAAATTGTATCAAAACTGTTTTCGATGAAGTGATTATTATTGTTATTACTATACAGTACTTTATAAGTTGAAGGTAAAATAATTTATGTCAACGCACTGAGAGAGAAAGACAAAATGAGAGGCTGGGGGTTCGAACCTGAGACCAATCGATTGAGAGAGGATTGTTCAAACTAATTAATTATTACAAATATTGTTTATTATTTCTCTTTTTCGATTTATTTCTGCATAATTATCTGTACACGTCAATATTATGGGACTGTGGTTCATTGGTTTAAAGAGCTGACTTTCAACCGATAGGTCACAGGTTCGAAGCCCGCTCTACCTACCGGCGACCAGATACTATCATTAGCCCTCACACACTGCGTACTGCACAAATGTGCATAAGAGTACTGAGTTTAATTCATAATTAACTATTATCATTATGTTAAATAAGTTGAATTTCAGAAGTGTCACTGTTTCAACCCCTTCAGGCTTATCTTAAGCTTCTGTTCCATTTTATACTAATGTTAACTCTTATAGACTGAGATTAATAAATTCACTATAGCACAATGAGATTATTGCAACTGTTTCAACTATCATATAATGTTTTTCTTCTTGCAATGAAACTACTTTAGATTGAAAACGGTTAATCATTGATTGGGCAGGTTATATTATCTTAATTCATAACTCCTCAAGAATGGTGACTCTGCGCTGCTGACCTGTCGTGGTAAGCACACTTCCAACAAACCGATTAGTCAGGAATCAGTCTAGAGATAGTGACTTACCATCAAACACAAGTAGATTGGGGAAAAGTTAAATGGCAATCGTCATTATTATTATTATTTATCCCTTGGAATCCTAGAGGAACATAGGGCTTCAGTAGCACACCTCCATTTCACTCTGTTCTCTGCAGTCTTTTGAACCTCGCTCCACAACTGCCCACAAGCTTTCATTTCTTCCCCACACGACCTCCTCCATGTCACCCTCACCTCAGACACCCAACTCGTCGTTTCCACTTTGAATTCCACTCGACAGCCTGGCCTGTCGCATGATGTCCCCGAACGATCTCAGTGTATGCTCAATCCATCTCCACTTCCTTGTGTATATTTGTTGGGTGATGGGTTTTTGGGTGGTTTGTCAGTAGGTTAAAATTCCTTGTTGCTTATTCTGACTATTCTGGTCATCTGATCTCATCTTCAGTATCGAGACAGCGTAGGTGGCAGCTGTTGATGAATGTGTGTAGTTTGTTGGAAATGCTTTTTGTGGGGCACCAAGTCTCTCAGCCATCACATAGAAGCACTGACTTGACTGACATTGGTATTGAAAACCCGGATGTTGTTGACGCTTTATGCTGAGTGCAGTGAAGTGTATCTCCACACTGATTTCAAGTTAGTGAAGGGAGGCCTGTGTTGCTGTCTTTCCGATGCTGGCTGGCTGACTGGCTGGCTGGCTGGCTGGCTTTGACGTCCTCATCTGTCCCGCAGCTGCCTGTAGTTGAAACGATGCTGCCTGGGTAGGTAGGTGGGTAGGTGAAAGAGACTACTTCCTCTACATTTCTCCCGTCGATGGTCATTGATGTTTGTTGTTGTTGTTGTTGGTTGGTTGGTTGGTTGGGTATCTTCATCACCTCTGTATTCTCTACGTTCACCTGACTGAAGGAAGTCCTGTCTTCGCCGCTTTTGTCTCTTCTGTCAACTTGTTGGATTTGGCCTGTCGATCTTCGAGTTTGTGCTACGAGACATCAGACATAAATCATCATCGTTGGCGAAATCCAAATCTTCTAGGGTCTTCTTCCTCATCGATGCAGCCAGTGTACGCCCCTCTTCTCGCTCTTCAGGTTTTGCTGCATGATCCAATCCACCAGAATCAGGAAGATCATCGGTGATAGTAGATAGCCTTGTTTACTCCTCAGTCACTTCAGAGGCATCACTGAGCTTTCCATTGTCAATCACTTGACATGTGGTGTCATCATATAGCTGTTGAGTAAGATCGATGAAGGTTTGTGGTACTTGATAATGTTGAAGCAGTTGCCAAATTAATTCTCGGTTGATGAAGTTGAGATAAGGTGGAGAGTTGACTGGCATTCTACGCTCTGTTCTATGATGATGCGTAGCGTGGTGTTGCAATTTGATCCTCATATGATTTGTTCTTCCTGAAGCAAGCCAGCCAGACTGTTCCGGTCGTTGTTTTGAATTCAGCGCACTTAACTTTAGTGTCTCCAGGGTGCTGCGCCTTAGTATTTTGCTTGGTGTGGATAGGAGCATGATTCCGCTCTAGTTCTTGTGAAAACTTAGGTCGCCCTTCTTCGGAAGTTCGACAACGTAGCCTTTCTTGTAATCACCAGGTACGTTTCCTTTCTTCTTTCGAAATCTTCTGCATTAGTGGTTTGAGCATGTCTTTGGGAATCTGGGCAGCTTTGCTTGGTCGGTTCAAACATAGTGCGGATATTCGATGTCCTTATGTTTAATTTGCTTTCATGGAGGAAGGGAAGAGACATCGGCCGATGGGCTTCCTGAAGTGTTTGACCAACCGGTGTCATTTCGTCTTCCCGATTGCAATGGGAACTAAGTTTGATTTCATTTTTATATTTTATCTGTTTGTTTTCGTTGTTATCCCTATTCCCAACTTTTATTCTCTGCCCAGGCTTAGTACCAGCTAGTTACTAGTGAACTAGTTAACCAGATTGCCTAGAACTTCAACTTTGTGTTAGTTTGCACTCGTCAGCAAGGTACATGTACAACCTCGACGGAGCTGATATCCAACCTGAGACTAGATTCGATCTGGTGTCGCCCAGTATTATAGTCAGTGACTTTGGCAATGAGCTATTCGGGTTCCAACTGATTTCCTGCAGTTAAATAGTTAGCACAATAGTTCAGAGTATGTCGAATATGTAAGCAAGTGAACTCTTACTTTATTTGAATCCGTTAGTTGATATTTTCAAGGTTCATAACGTAACTAATCATTCAACAATAACAACTAACTTCAATCACCGTCAACGGGGGAAACTTAAAGAAAGTAGCCTCCTTCACCTATCTAGGAAGCACTGTTTCAACTATAGGCAGCATAGCCGAGGATGTCAAAGCCAGCTAGGATCGGAAAGACAGCAACACAGGCGTTCATTAGCCTGAAACTAGTGTGGAGATGTACTGCACTCAGCTTGTGGAACAAGATCTGGTTTTTCAACACCAACCCAGTCAAGTCAGTGCTTCTGTGTGATGATTCAGAAACTTGGCGCATTACGAAAAGCATTTCCAACAAACTACAGATATTCATCAATAGCTGCCACCTACGCTCGTCACTGAAGCTCAGATGGCCAGAATAGTAAGAATAAGCAACAAGGAACTCTGGCTGGTGACGAACCAACAAAGCAAAAACCTATCGCGCTCAACAAATATGCAGTGGAAGGAAGTGGAGATGGTTTGGATGGGCATACACTGAGAGGATCATTCGGGGACATCACATGCGAGGCAGTTGAGTGGAGCGTAGATGGGAAGCGACGAGTTTGGCGTCCCAGGTGAGGGTGACATGGAGGAGATGGTGCGAGGGGGAAATGAGAGTTTGTGGGCAGTTGTGGAGCCCGGTTCAAAAGATTGCAGAGAAGAGAGTGAAATGTGGACGTGCTACTGAAGCCCTATGTTCCGGTGGGAACCCAAGGGACAAATAATAATAATAATAATAATAATAACAATAATAATAATAACATAGAAGTAGTATTCATCATGGACTGACATACGTTGGGGAACCATTGAAAATCTGGGAGCACTGGACATCTGTTTCGTCCTTGGTATAGGACTGCTCAGCTGTATGCACCCACGATCCGGCTAGGGGTCGACTCAAGACCTTCAGGTTTCACGGCGAACGCATTAATCATTCACCGACTGGATCAATTTCCAGTGGTTCACAATTTTCAACTTCTGTCAATTCACAACATACTGCGACTGTCACTTAAGGTCTTCAATTAGCATCCACTTCATTTCCGACTGGTTGACCCCACAGGTCATGGCTTCTAAATTAAAACTCCCCAGTTATCTCAAAAATACAATAATAATAATAATAATAATAATGATAATAATCATTCAGTCTTATTGGTGTTCATCTATCCTCATGGTCTAGTAAATTTACTTAACTGATTGTTGTTTTACATTGCCATTTTGTTTGACTATTACATCATAGATAGTTGTTAAAAATCATCTAATTCCAATTGATTTTAGTAATTTTTTTGTGGAATTATTTCTTTCTTCATCTATTTGATTTATTATATATAGTTGAATGTTTTTTTTAGTTTGGAAAAAGCCTAACTTTCTCCTTATATTATAAATACAAAGTGGGAAAAGATCCTGTAAACAACCTTGTACATATTCATGCAGTAGGCAATAAGTTATACCTATTGTGTTATGGAAAGTTAACGGTATACTATCTGACTACTGTCTTTGAACCCTATTGGTTGGAAATCAAATTATTGGGTATTTATTAATTCTTTTATCGTCTTTGATTGATTATTGACGACTGTTTGATGTGTAGGTTCAAGCTTTATTATCTCAGCTATATTCTTTAAACATAACTGATTGAATTATCTTATCAATGTTCTGTTCTGAATTATTATTATTATTATTACTGAATACATTCAGGCGATCAGTTGGCCAACAGTCTGATTCTCTTACTATTCACTCAATTGATTTTGCATATAATTTTCATTGGGTATTGCTCGTGGTTGTCGTCTGGGTGACAATATCGGAGTAGATTATCGATTCTCCAGTTAACAGTTTAGAGAGTTCACTCCCATTCCATCTGCTTTCGCAAACTCCAAGCACTTCAATGTGATAACTCCTCATCTCGTTTGCAATCTGGGCTCCCCAGCTGGGTTCAAACATAGTGCGGATATCCCATGTCCCCACGTTTACTTTCGCTTTCATCGAGGGAGAGAAGACACATCGGCCTGGCTAGTTGGCTTCCCGAAGTCAGGCTTTCACCAACCGGTGTCATTTCGCCTCTCCTATTCCAGCTAGGAATAATTTTGTTATTATTTTTGTATATTTTGTTTGTGCTTTGAGGTTTCTGTAGTGGTTTTATTTGTTTTCCGGGGTAGGGTTGCTAGCCCTATTCCCAACCTTCCCTTTTTACCCGTGCTTAGTACCAGCTAGTAACTAGTGAACTAGTTAACCAGTTGAGGTTCGGGTATTAATGAATCAGATATATCTAGGTGTGAACAGAATATGTACTCGATTCACATGATGTAGTGTATGCATTAATGGTTCAGTTTGTTATATATCATTATCAAGTAATAAAGTGTAAGGAGGCAAAAAGTGAAATAAAAAGGGGCAAAGAATCTTACCAAAACTCGTAAATAGTTATAAAAACGAAATGAAAGTGTATCTAATAATGAGTTAAGAGAATACAAATAAAGTGAACATGAAGTTGTAGATTTTTAAGCATGAATTTAGCGTTTTAAATATTCACTTTAATATGTTCGATAGATTTGTAGATATTGGAGAGGAAACATGGAGAAAGTGCAATTTTTTTCTTTAAGAATACAAAGAAGGCTTCATGTTTACATGATAGAGTATTGTAATATGATGTGTGCTCATTTAAATCAAGATATAGTTAGAGCAAGTTCTTTGTTTTTACCAGTCCGTCTATCATTGAAATCTCAGATGCTTAAATAGTGTTTTCATTATTTCACTGAATTAATTATTCCTCACCGATAGCTGCTATCTTCACCTTGTGATCGGGTTTGTATATATCACAATGACCCAACGAGCTACAATGGGTGAAATGCTTGTTCCTTCGGGGTCTTATCATGCTAGTGTGTAGTGTAAATTGCTACACTATGATGGTGGATCGTAGAGTGAATTTATACTACTGTCTGGATGAGGTGTGAAAGCAGTAAGGCCGTTAAAAGTAGAAGATATTCAGAGATTTCAAGTTTTTGACCACATGTGTTTTCGTAGCATTGCTCACATTTGGTGGAATCATCATGTTGACAATATCAAGGTCAGTCGAAGGGTACTAGGCAAGTGAAGCAAGTTAATCGATGAGGTTGTGAGATAGCTTGGAGATGTACTACGTACGCCGAGTCACTGCCTGTCTCAACGTGGTGTGCGAGGGGAAGCTGGATTAGGTTGGAAGAGGGCTGAGGGTGGTGAAATTTCTAACTGTTAGTATGAGGCGTATAGCGAGGTGTAAACTACTTAACTTAAAGTCCTGGACATGATGGTAACCAGTAGTTGAGGACTGTTGGTGATTTGGCTGAAAATCGGTCACAATGGCTTAGATATATCCGCTCGTTGACGTCTTCTGAGCTGGAATATTTACATTAACCTTTGTCTCTAGCTTGTTTATTCTCTCACACAACTTTGTCTACTTTGATATCAATCTTTTATTTCCTATCTGTTCTTTGCATTCTGCTCTGGAGTTTTTCAGCTTGAACCTATGCAGTAATATGCGAGGTTGTACGCTGGTTTTGTCTGTCTGTCTATCTCCTACTTAGGATTACCTCTTCTGCCTATTATCTTTTTGTTGTCAATCAGAGTAGTAGTATATAAACAACAGATGGATAAGAAAAAAGTGATATCATCAAAGTGGACAAAGCAGTATGAAAGAATAAACAATCTGAAGATAAAGGTTAATATGAATATCTCAGTTGCTCCATTGTAATTGATTTTCAGCCATGTCATCAACAGTCCTCATTCACGGATTCCTTTCATCTCAGCGACCTCAGTCGGTCAAACATTGCTTCTTGCTAATCATATTTTAGTATATAATGTCCTGTTCAAATAAGAAAAATACTATCATAAAGCTATAGATTTTCTCAATAATCTCATAGTACCATATTTTCTAAAGTGAATGGACTATCAATTTTCGTATATTTATTTAACCTTCATTGGACCAATGCATCAACTTTCATAATAGATTATTTAATTACTTTTACTACTTCCCATAAACTGAAACCTTTTTTGTATAATCTTTTTTCAATGAAATTTAGTCTTCCTACAGTAAAAGAATTGGCTGAATTTGTGTATATGAATTTAATTGGTCAGATATTTGGTCCACCAGCGGTTGAAGTAAGTAAAACTAAATTTTTATTGTAGAAAGTTTTTTAAACTGTAAAAATTTACTCCTTTTATCGAATTAAAAATTGAAATCCACATAGTTAAGTTTTACACATTCGTGCAGTAGACAATAAGCCACACCTATTGTGTTTGTGTGTGTGTGTGTGGGGGGGGGAGTGGTCTAACGATACTACTTACCTGTTCAGATCTTTGTAGGCAAAGCGACACTCGAACCCGTAAACCACTAGTTGAAAATCAACTCCTTGGTTCATAACTCCACTAATCTTCGTATAAAAATGATATATGATGTAAATGTTAAGCCAACTTAAAGCCTTACGAGTCTGTAGTTTTAATTCTGAAGAAAGTGTTATTCATTTGCACTGTTTAACTTCTTGTATAGTTCATTCGATTTAGCTTGATTTGTGATATAAATTATAATTAGTTTTATTGTAAATAATTAGTCTGTTTGCTAGATATTGAAAAGAAGGTATACAAAGCGGAGTGAGATACAGAAATACCTTGTAGACAAGACTATATCATTGAAGTGTTCTCCTAAAAATTAATGAAATCAATTATATGAAAGTGTTATAATCTCCACTGAAATTCATTTCATATTGAATATACTTAACTATTCTCTGATCTGACAAGATTAATTAAAAAGAAAGTGGTATCAGAATCATTGAATGCTTTGAAGCATTGGTATGGGAATGTTTAGCAGTGCATGAATCCATAATCTCTCTGGGAATCAAACCAACCTCCGTAGGGAGCGCGTATAATCGAGTCACTAAGTTGGATTCCACTGGTTCATAGTTTTCTACTTTTCTCAGTCAACAATATATCGCGATCTACATCCATCGCTATCAATGAGTATCTATCCTCATGTTCAACTTGGTTTACTGTAGATTTTCCTTGTCAGAAATTATCATTATGATATCTAGGTGATGGCTTATTAGAGGGGATAACTGAATTAGACTGCTTATGTTACCAATTGACAATGTCATCGAACTATGATATGACGAAGACTGCCTCCAAAACTCTAGCTGGCCAAATGTTGAAGTATCAAACTAGTTGTTGGTCAACCGATCTTATGCGTATATTCAAAAACCATTTAAATCACAAAGCGTATGCAAAAATCACTCATATATAAAGATGTGGGTAAAATAAAACTCTCAGCTACATAGTAGTCAGTCAAGGACAATATGAAGATTAGTAGATAATCAGATATGTTTTATCATTGGGTGTAGGACTTTGAAACATCAACCAATGAGAGGTAGGTACACCTAACTGACAAGTCTTGAATAGGAAGAAGTGCTCGTTCTACATGCCTCTGGTAGCCACTATCAAATCATCAGTTTCACGACTATGTACACTAAGTGACCTATCTCCATGAAAAGTGCATTATATCTCTACGCGTTATGTGACACTCACGAACTTGACATATAATGCAGTTAAGTATAATTTTTACTCAAATACAATTTAGCAACTGAAGTTTATACAGAGGAGTTTTAAGGTCATTTAACAATCAAAAAGCATTTACACTTAAAGGTGGATCTTGGTTGAATGAATCGTAACCTTACAATAAACACTGATAAAAAGAAAATACTTCTTCTAAATGTTTTAAAACGGGAGGAAAAAACATTGCAATAAAATAATAATAATAATAATATTACTATTACTTGTCCCTTAGGTTCCTAGTCGCACATAGGGCTTCAGTAGCACGTCCCCATTTCGCTCTCTTCTCTGCAATCTTTTGAACTGGGCTCCACAACTGCCCACAAGCTCTCATTTCCCCCTCGCACCATCTCCTCCATGTCACCCTCACCTGGGACGCCAAACTCGTCGCTTCCTATCTACGTTCCACTCAACTGCCTCGCATGTGATGTCCCCGAATGATCCTCTCAGTGTATGCCCATCCAATCCATCTCCACTTCCTTCCACTGCATATTTGTTGAGCGCGATAGGTTTTTGCTTTGTTGGTTCGTCACCAGCCAGATTTCCTTGTTGCTTATTCTTACTATTCTGGCCATCTGAGCTTCAGTGACGAGCGTAGGTGGCAGCTATTGATGAATATCTGTAGTTTGTTGGAAATGCTTTTCGTAATGCGCCAAGTCTCTCAACCATCACACAGAAGCACTGACTTGACTGAGTTGGTGTTGAAAATCCAGATCTTGTTCCACAAGCTGAGTGCAGTACATCTCCACACTGGTTTCAGGTTGGTGAAGGCCTGTGTTGCTGTCTTTCCGATCCTAGCATTTACGTCTTCGTCTATGCCGCCGCCTATAGTTGAAACGATGCTGTCTTTATGTTTCTCCCATTCATAGTGATTGGAGTTTGTTGTTGTTGGTTGGATATCATCATCACCTCTGTCTCCTCTATATTCATTTGAAGTCCCGTCCTCGCTGCCTCTTCTGATAACTTGTTACTTTTCGCCTGTAGATCTTCAAGTTTGTGTGACATCAGACACAAGTCATCGGTGAAATCCAAATCGTCCAGGTTTCTTTTCCCCGGTCCAACGTATCCCTCTCTTCTCACTCCCCACTGTTTGTTGCATGATTCAGTCGATCACAATCAGGAAGACCATGGGTGATAGTAGGCAGCCTTGTCTTACTCCTGTCTTCACTTCACTTCAAAGGCATCACTGAGTTTCCCATTGTGGATTACTTGGCATGTGGCGTCTTCATATAGGTGTTGAGGAATGAAGTTGATAAAGGTTTGCGGCATTCCGTAGTATTGAAGCAGTTGCCAAATTACCTCTCGGTCGACGCTGTCGAAGGCTTTTACAAAGTGGATGAAGTTGAGATAGAGAGTTGAGTTGACTGCCATTCTACACTCTGTTCTATGATGATGTGTAGTGTTGCAGTTTGGTCTATTACCAACTTCCTTGAAGGCTTTCAACTTGATTTGGAACGCAGGTTGCTTGCACTAGATAATGAGTGGTGTGAACCTGCATCTGCTCCTCTTCTTCATCTGATCTTGTGTTCAGTAGGCTGCCTATCCACTTTCTTTACATTGAGATGGGGTCGATCTGATTTTTAGTATAGTGTGTCCTGGTGTCTGGTGAAATCGAATCCATGTCGGTAGCTTTGTGAATATCCTTGTGCTTGAACATAGTACCTCCAATCACCAAATCGTTGAATGCTCAGAAATCTGCAAACACTTCTCTATTCTCTTTCATTTCACCGAGTGCTTCTCGACCCATGGTTAGTTCTCTTATTGTGTTGTCCGTTCCGAGTTTGGCATTCATATCACCCCACCCATTAGAATTTTGATATTGCCAACTGAGGTCTTGTCGAGTGTTGATTGCCGTTGTCTGTAGAATGTCTCCTTCTTCTCTTGATCTGCATTATTTGTAGGTGCATGGCGTAGCGCAGTGTTGTATGATTGTGAGTTTCGTTCCTTTTGAGTTGAATCTTGCTGTCATAGTACTGCATGAGGAGATTGATTCCCACTGCATGAGAGCCTTTGATGCTGTTGGGGACATCATGATAGCCACTCGATAACTGAGTGTGCTCACGGTTATCGTCTGGGTGACAGTGTTAAAGTAGATTATTGACTGTTGAGTTGACAGTTGAGAGAGTCCACTCCCATTCCATCTGCTTTCGCAAATTCCAAGCACTTCAATGTGATAACTCCTCATCTCGTTTGCAATCTGGGCTCCCCAGCTGGTTCAAACATAGTGCGGATATCCCATGTCCCACGTTTACTTTCGCTTTCATCGAGGGAGAGAAGACACATCGGCCTGGCTAGTTGGCTTCCCGAAGTCAGGCTTTCACCAACCGGTGTCATTTCGCCTCTCCTATTCCAGCTAGGAATAATTTTGTTATTATTTTTGTAACTTTTGTTTGTGCTTTGAGGTTTCTGTAGTGGTTATATTTGTTTTACGGGGTAGGGTTGCTAGCCCTATTCCCAAACTTCCCTTTTTCCCCGGGCTTAGTACCAGCTAGTAACTAGTGAATTAGTTAACCAGGCGAGGTTCTGTTAGCAACCACAAGGAAAATTATACTATTCGAAATTCGATACAGGGAAACTCAAACCAATGGACTGAAGAAAGAACTAAACGAATGATCGGACGGATAGAAAAATTTTGCATAGGTACTGGTGAAAAGTCAATATCTTCACCTGTTTCCACTTCGCAAAGTCGATTATGACGCCTCAGCTCCAAACTGCACCAGTTTGGAGATCACCTATAACAGATCACTTGCTTAAACGTTACGAGAAATGGAAGTTTAGATCCGGAGAAAATATTATTCTCAGAAAATTTTACGAGGAATGTTTGTCTGAAACATCATGATGCATTAATGCACCCGAATGATACCGCGAACTTCAACAAGAAATGTCGTCAAAACAACTATACTACTTGAAATTATATCAGTAGTACAACAGTAAACTATGAATTTCCTAGATTGATGTACATATTCGAATTCCAACAGCTTTGAAACGGAAATTTCATAGACATATTATATTATATCACCTTTAAAACAGCTTGCATAAACATTCGAGCAGAGAAGTATTGGTTCTTTCGACTACTTCGGCAGTTATCACCAACTGTTCCCAAATTTAATCCGGTGAAAAAAGTCAAGACGAGACAACGACTGCATGCCTGAATGAATTGAAAATCTTATGACTGACGTTTTCAAATAAGTGGAACCTTAATAAATTAGGTTCTCAGGATCCTTGAGGATTGACGACAGATTCCTTTCGAATAAATAAATCCTCTTTCAGACGTTTAATTGCTGTAATGACTTCAGCAAAGCAGGTTGTAAGGCATTTTCCTTAATATTCTATATCCTATAAGTGCTTAGTATTTTCAGTATGAGGTACACTTGTTCCACTCAATTGTAGACTTTTCATCACATCTTCAAGGTATCAAAAATAAGCTCTCCTCTCCGATTTTCTTTCAATTCCGACAGTTTCTTAACTCTGCTGTGCTGTCCTCATTCCAGATGATGAGGATCATCGAAATAATCGAATGAGCCAACATTCATTTATTACATAGCCTCACTTCATTATTTTCGTGATCCGCATCATATAAAATGATGACACAGAGCAGAGTATTATAAACTTCTCCTCGTTAACTAATTCACTAGTTACTAGCTGGTACTAAGCCCGGGGAAAAAGGGAAGTTTGGGAATAGGGCTAGCAACCCTACCCCGTAAAACAAATATAACCACTACAGAAACCTCAAAGCACAAACAAAAGTTACAAAAATAATAACAAAATTATTCCTAGCTGGAATAGGAGAGGCGAAATGACACCGGTTGGTGAAAGCCTGACTTCGGGAAGCCAACTAGCCAGGCCGATGTGTCTTCTCTCCCTCGATGAAAGCGAAAGTAAACGTGGAGACATGGGATATCCGCACTATGTTTGAACCCAGCTGGGGAGCTCAGATTGCAAACGAGATGAGGAGTTATCACATTGAAGTGCTTGGAATTTGCGAAAGCAGATGGAATGGGAGTGGACTCTCTCAACTGTCAACTCAACAGTCAATAATCTACTTTAACACTGTCACCCAGACGATAACCGTGAGCACACTCAGTTATCGAGTGGCTATCATGATGTCCCCAACAGCATCAAAGGCTCTCATGCAGTGGGAATCAATCTCCTCATGCAGTACTATGACAGCAAGATTCAACTCAAAAGGAACGAAACTCACAATCATACAACACTGCGCTACGCCATGCACCTACAAATAATGCAGATCAAGAGAAGAAGGAGACATTCTACAGACAACGGCAATCAACACTCGACAAGACCTCAGTTGGCAATATCAAAATTCTAATGGGTGGGGTGATATGAATGCCAAACTCGGAACGGACAACACAATAAGAGAACTAACCATGGGTCGAGAAGCACTCGGTGAAATGAAAGAGAATAGAGAAGTGTTTGCAGATTTCTGAGCATTCAACGATTTGGTGATTGGAGGTACTATGTTCAAGCACAAGGATATTCACAAAGCTACCGACATGGATTCGATTTCACCAGACACCAGGACACACTATACTAAAAATCAGATCGACCCCATCTCAATGTAAAGAAAGTGGATAGGCAGCCTACTGAACACAAGATCAGATGAAGAAGAGGAGCAGATGCAGGTTCACACCACTCATTATCTAGTGCAAGCAACCTGCGTTCCAAATCAAGTTGAAAGCCTTCAAGGAAGTTGGTAATAGACCAAACTGCAACACTACACATCATCATAGAACAGAGTGTAGAATGGCAGTCAACTCAACTCTCTATCTCAACTTCATCCACTTTGTAAAAGCCTTCGACAGCGTCGACCGAGAGGTAATTTGGCAACTGCTTCAATACTACGGAATGCCGCAAACCTTTATCAACTTCATTCCTCAACACCTATATGAAGACGCCACATGCCAAGTAATCCACAATGGGAAACTCAGTGATGCCTTTGAAGTGAAGTGAAGACAGGAGTAAGACAAGGCTGCCTACTATCACCCATGGTCTTCCTGATTGTGATCGACTGAATCATGCAACAAACAGTGGGGAGTGAGAAGAGAGGGATACGTTGGACCGGGGAAAAGAAACCTGGACGATTTGGATTTCACCGATGACTTGTGTCTGATGTCACACAAACTTGAAGATCTACAGGCGAAAAGTAACAAGTTATCAGAAGAGGCAGCGAGGACGGGACTTCAAATGAATATAGAGGAGACAGAGGTGATGATGATATCCAACCAACAACAACAAACTCCAATCACTATGAATGGGAGAAACATAAAGACAGCATCGTTTCAACTATAGGCGGCGGCATAGACGAAGACGTAAATGCTAGGATCGGAAAGACAGCAACACAGGCCTTCACCAACCTGAAACCAGTGTGGAGATGTACTGCACTCAGCTTGTGGAACAAGATCTGGATTTTCAACACCAACTCAGTCAAGTCAGTGCTTCTGTGTGATGGTTGAGAGACTTGGCGCATTACGAAAAGCATTTCCAACAAACTACAGATATTCATCAATAGCTGCCACCTACGCTCGTCACTGAAGCTCAGATGGCCAGAATAGTAAGAATAAGCAACAAGGAACTCTGGCTGGTGACGAACCAACAAAGCAAAAGCCTATCGCGCTCAACAAATATGCAGTGGAAGGAAGTGGAGATGGATTGGATGGGCATACACTGAGAGGATCATTCGGGGACATCACATGCGAGGCAGTTGAGTGGAACGTAGATAGGAAGCGACGAGTTTGGCGTCCCAGGTGAGGGTGACATGGAGGAGATGGTGCGAGGGGGAAATGAGAGTTTGTGGGCAGTTGTGGAGCCCGGTTCAAAAGATTGCAGAGAAGAGAGTGAAATGTGGACGTGCTACTGAAGCCCTATGTTCCACGAGGAACTCATGATAGAAATATTAATAGGAGTATTAATACGGACTGAGGCATCTATTGCACGCATTTCATGTCATTCATGACTCTTTTGCTGGATTAACTGCATCGTAGTGAGGAATGGTGCTTTAGCTGAAAGTGGATCGAATTACTTTACACTTTAAACAGAAACGCGTTATCTATTATTTTAGTGAGGCACGATAGACATCTCGTGGGTAAAAGATATGAATTGTTGTTATTGATACTTATAACCAACACCTCCCCTTCCACTTTGCCATACTTGATGGAGGCTATTAGTAGAATATTGAAAAGGATGGTTGATGGTTACTTTTGAGAATCAGTGAAGTGTTTTTTAGCTAGCGTTTCGGAATCAGATGGATTTTCTTATGACTTAGCTTAATCACTGATTGACTCAGCTTCCAAGGAAGGTGAGAAGTGTTCTTTTGATAAGCGCAGTGAAGTCAGTTCGATTGAGATTATGTCGGAGAGCCTAGGCTCCATAATCATTCGACGTCCAAGTGCAGCTGGGAAACAGAAAATACGAGAAAACGAAGCAGACCGGTGTATCGACCAGATCTTCGTCATCCGCCAGGTCCGGGAATAAAGGTACATATCGTATTATTTGCTGTGTCAGATTTACTGTATTTCTTGAATTAAATACGGCATTCAACCCCGTGTACTGAGAAGTCTTATGGTGTTGTGTCCCACTGAAAACAGTGCCATGTAGTTGCATCACCTTGTTGAAGGCCCCTTATTCAAACACTAGTTGGTGTATGCTTGGATAACAGATGATGATTTGTGAACAAGGGTTGGTGTCCTTAAGGAATGTCCCCTTTCTCTTTTTCTGAAATAATGGAAAAAATTTGTAGCTCAGGATGAGGATGATACTGGATTAGTTTGAATGCTTTATGAAGTGTATGCTGAAGATATTACCAAGCCTGATGGTGAAACGTTCACGACAAAATATCACTTCATTTCTATTTAAATTTCTTGGAGATGTCCTTATGGAGGTCGTCCTTTTTTGTCTGACTTTGCAGAGGTTGATCTTGTCACACGAAACCCCTTAGTAGATGTACAGTATAGAGATTGACACAGTCTTGTTAGGTGTTGATCACTTCACTTAGTTGAGAAATCGGATCAGTCCTTGTAGGTCATTGATGGATGCAATGTCTGCATTGATACTAAAGGCTCGCTTGTTTTTCGCCAGCTTACCCCATTTATAATATCGCTGTGATATGCGATGTTGTATTTAGTGTATTGCACAGCTGTTTTCTCTGTCCTACTATTTGGTTGTGTAAGATGGTGGTTAAAGTTGGAGGAGACGATTAGGCTTGAGCTCTTCGACTGCTATTACCTTCATAAAATAGGCGGTGTGTCATGGTGCCACCAGGCCAGTATTCTAGGAGTTAGATCTAGGTTTGTTGCTGTGACCCATGCATTTAACTAACGAATATGAAAAGATACCTCTGCGGTATGAACAAAACCGGCGGGCAGCGGCAGAAAACACCCTTTCGATTAAATGAAATCGATCAATTGGCGAAAAGTATCATCCCCTTAGAACAGAAGAGTTAATCAATAAAATCAAAACAGCCTTCATCAATTCAGCCAAAACAAAAGTGTTGATAAATGAGATCTAAGCTGTATTCATTGGTTCATTAAAACAAATAGAGCTGACTAATCACTACAAGGCCAGTCCAGTTTAGTATATTTCGTGTGGACAAGAAAATGAATCAATGACGTAGTTGGACACCCTTCTTAAAAAACTGAGTGACTTTAAAGGTCACCCTATCAACTTCTGAATAGACTAATCAGGCTCCGATATTTCGCCTGAGAAACTACTTTTGTATAAAACAAAGAGGTGTAACTGGCTATCATATTGGTCACTAGAGTAGCTTTCAAAATCACCCTAAAAAACTAGAAGGCGAAATTCAACCAATCAGATCCAACATCCACCCACATATATACATCAAATGGCCAATCAGGTTATACCCAAGCGAAGTAGTGGATTTTAATTATCTATACACTGCCGATTAATTCAGCTACTTGTGAAGCCTTAATGTAATTGTAATGATGCCTAGTATGAAGTTGAAACGTTGGCCAGCTGAACATATACATTGTGAGCTACAAATATTCTACACAGCATGTGTAGTTAGGTAGCGGACACACGGTGGATCAATTTAGCTCTATGTAAGAAATAGTACATCAATTGTTCACTCAAACAGATTATTCTTAGAAACAGAACTCGTTCTGATCAACTGAATCTTAAAAGAGTGGAGTAGTTGTAGTCAGCTTAATCTACTTTGAAACCTTCAGATATGTTTCGATAATTTCATAAAATGTTAAATAAAATACTTTTTTTGATCATATTTTCTTCTATTTATAGCTATTGAATTTAATTACACAAAACAGAGAAGTTGAAGAGCATTCAGTCTATGAATTAGCAGTTCAACATAATTTACTGCTAAACTGCAACGAAGATGAAATAAAAATGTTATGTGAACGAGTAATTGAAGATTATCCTGAATTGGCAAGTCTTGTTTTGCTGCATTCCTCTTAGATATCTATGTGTACTATAGTTATAAGATGATGAATAGTAGTTTTATGTCATATTAAAATGTATGTGTGCAAAATCTCCATTTATACAGGTGACAATTTAATCGGTGACGAGATGGTAACTGTGATGTTCCTAACTTCATGATATTGTCGTTGTTATCGACCTTTACGTCACTTTTGGTTTCCTATTCGGTTCTATGATAAGATCTGGATTCTCAACACTAATATCAGTCAAGTCAGTGCTTCTATGTGATAGTTGAGAGACTTGGTGCATTGTGAAAAGCATTTCCAACAAACTACGGACATACATCATCAATAGTTGCCGCCTACGCTCAGTCGATGCTGAAGATCATATGGATGACAGGAAAGAATAAGCAACAAAAAACTCTGGTCTGTCAACAAACCAACCAAAAATCCATCATCCAACGAATATACAGAAGAAAGTGGAGATGGATTAGATTAGACAAACAGTGAGAAGACCGTTTGAGGAGATCACGCATTAGGCCTTCCAGTGGAATCCAATCGGGAAACGACGAGTTGGTTGTCTGAGGCGAGGGTGATATGGAGGAGATGGTGTGACGAAGAAATGAAAGCTCCTGGGAAGTCGTAGAACCAGCTTCAAAAGACTGCAAAGAACTGTGAAGTGCATGTTGACGTGCGACTGAAGCCCTATATCCTACTAGGAACTCAAAGGACAAATGATAATAATAATAATTCAGTTCTATGATTAAGAGATGGAGGGGAATTTCGCCTGAGTTTATCCTCTACTGCCACTAACGCCATACTAGGTGACTTAGAGAAAAGATTTAGGTAGATCGCTTGCTAGCCCACACAACGCACAATTATATCGTGTTTAGAAAATTGCAGAGAAAATGTACAACACCTTATAAGCTTAGGCTATCTAATTAGAATGTCAAAGGTAGACACGTTAAGAACGCTAGTGATTAATTGGTTGTCGTTCTCACTTTTTTTTGAGTAGTGATACAACAGTAGCTGGTGCTCAAGAATTCTTTTTCACATTTAAAAGGGGTTAGAACACTGGACTGTATTCTTAACCACTTTAATTATTGTTAAAAGCTTCATATGAATATAAATGGTAAGGTGTACAGCTGTCTCTTATGGACGTATATCACTTTTGTACAATTCCATAGTTTGACTTATCGAAGTTGAGACTGTTCACTACTTTCTGTGCCGTTCGATCAAACAGCTTATAGACGACTGTCACCTAGTATCCATTCAATTCGAGAACTTTCTGTCTCAGTGCTCAATGCTATATCTACTCCTAGAAAACCTTGAGAACTAGCCATCGAATGCTAAAAAACTTGAAGGGTGAACTTTAAGGATTCATCATATTGGCTGGATGGGGTTAAGCATATCTGTTAAACACACCACGCATCCATGACCTGAGATTCTAAAGTTTCGGCAAAGGAAGCTTGTTGGCCGACTTGATAGAGAATGTGGACATTGAAGATTCTAGTTTCTGGTTTGGAGGATGGTGTTAGAATGTTGTGCTGTGAATTCAAATGGTTGTCAAGAGCAACAAAGCTGTAAGAAATTTAAGATGGTGTGAGATTATTGACTGGGAAAAGTGAAGGAAGATTCGAAGGTGAGCATACCGGAGGTGGACAGTGATCTGAAGGGATTTGAGTGCTGAGGGTAGTTGACACTTTTCTACTGCCTGCACCATGGAAGCCTGGTTCTTTTCGAGGTACCTGAAAAAGAAAAGGTTTGTGCGCAACTTCAAAGCCTAAGGGACCTCTGCTTTAGGCATTTGGTATTTTGCTTTCGGAATCGGCTATGAATCCTCGTCGCAGGCATAGGCATGCCTCGGGGTGATAGGAGTGAGGCTCACTTTTTCTAGCTTTTCCTTCCCACAGGGGAGGCAGTATTGGCGTGGCACTTGGTCATTCAAAATGTCATTTTTACTCTTATTATACACCATCTAGTCAGCAATATGACTGCGCCCTCAGACTCTCATCATAGTATAGCAATTTACACTACCGCTGTAACTGCCTTTCGTCTTACAACTATCCATCTTACCGTTCTAGCGTGATAGGACTTACAGAGGATAAGTTTTGCAGACAGTGTATCTTGTTGCATCATTGTAGTATAAATACTCAACCACCACATCAAGGTAGCAGCAAGCAGATGGGGAAAAATCTATTAATCAGCAGTCCCACTACGATTTAAGAAATAAATAGCAAGTTAATCAAGATTGAACTGGCATCTAAGTTGAACGTATCCATTCAACCACCATGAATAACGCATGTTAAAGTTGTTTCAGTCAATGAAGGTCCACAACTTTATAGACTGATTTAGACAAATAGACGAAATCAACGTAGAACCTCGTACACAGATGCATCGTTTTAAGTTACCACATTTCACAGTAGTATACAAAGAATAGGTGGATAGAAAAGGAGTAATATCATCAAAGTATATGAAGTTGTGTGAGCGAGTAAACAAGCTAAAGACAACGGTTAGTGCAAATATTTTAGCTTCAGAAGACGTCAGAGAGTGAATACATCTGCGCCATTGTGACCGATTTTCAGCCATATCACTAAGATTTCTTAACCGCTGATTCCTATCGTTTCAGGCAGTCTGGCAGTCTGTATCTCCCCACACATCTCGGATCAGCAATTCTCCTGGCTACCCTGAACCCTAATCCAGCTTCCCCTTGCACAGCTCATCGAGGTAGGCAGTGACTCGTCACGCTCAGTACACCTCCAAACCATCTCAGTCGACTACTTTTACTTTTAACGGCTATGTCTCACAGTTGCACAACAAGATAGAACGGACTGTAGCTCAGTATACTCATCTTTTGATTGGTAGTCGAGCATCTCATCAGTAAGTGTCACAAACGACGTAGTCTAGCAGATGCCTAACGGGTCTTCTGTACTCGAGCCGAGATTTCTTCACTAACTAGCCCTTTTGGGCTTTTGCAGCTTCTCAATTAAGTGAAGTAGTCGACATGTTCCACCACTTCACTCCCTATCATTAAACTGGGAGTACTTGCAACAAACCAGTCCTGGAGTATCATCTTTTATTTGAAAGGTGGGAAATGTGTGCTAAACATACTCAGACTTCTGTTCAACGCGTCTAGAAAACATTGCATTTCGTCAGCGTCTTCGCCTGATAGGACAATATTGTCTGCATACTCTGCATCAACCAGATCACCTTCGGGGAGTAAGTTAATTCATTCGAAGTCAGACGTACATAGAGTTATTTCCATTAGTACGTCTATGATGAAGTTAAATCATAACGGTGATAGTGGGCATCCGTATTGAATTCCACTAGTTGTTTTCAGTCCACAGGACAACTCTCCATAAGCTTTTACATGGCTACATGAGTCTGAGTAGACAGCTTTTATTAGCATTGTATACTTTCTCATTACTCCCTTCACAGCCAGCGATAACACCTCACTGTTGGGTTGACAGAATCAACTGACATCTTCAGGTCAAGAAATATGCCAAGCTTCAGCCGCCGGTAGGTATGCCTATGTACCCGAACCTGTTGGAGGGTAAAAATATAATCGATGCACGCTCGCCCAGGTCTGAAACCTGCCTGCTTCCCTCAAGTTCTAGTTAGGCATCGGATAATTATGGACCCTAGGATCGTGGACACGATAATTGTCGAACTAATCCCCTATGCTTGTCACAGGAACACCTCCCTCTCCTAAGAGTCTCATATGGTCAGTGAAGCAGATCAGTCTAATGGGACTACTTCTGATTCCTATCCACTGCCTAGTACCGTCATCGTTTTATACAACAATTTCTTACCTCCATCCTTGAAAACCTCAGGTGACAAACTGTCAGGTCCTGCTGCTTTGGATCGTTTCAATCTCCATATAACCTTTGCAAGGAGAGTTGGAGGACCGACATCCACGTCCTACTCATGTTCAGGCTGGATATTAGACAAGTGAAGTGTTGCTGTGGGCCATTTGAACTGTGCTTTAAAGTGTTCTACCCATCTTTTTGGCCGCCCATTCTGAGTCGTCATCAGCGTTCCATCCTTATTGTTTATGGTTTAACTAACGATCGTTTTCTTCTTGTGGAACTTCAGGTGTTTGTGCTGATGATGTTATCTAGATTGCTTATGAAAGCCTCACAGTTAACCCCCATCTATATTACGGAACACAACACCATGAAAAAGAAGTTATAGTTACTTTATGATGCCAAGTCACACACTAAGAAAATGGTCACATTTTTAAAGATGACTTTAATTTAAGAGGTGATTTTGTAACAGAGATTGGATATTGAGCTTCGGATGATCTTCACTGGTTGACGATGAATTTATGAGTCTGTTAAGTTGAAACTCCGCTTTAGGCCTCATCTTCCTACATCACCGCGTTTACTTACTCCTTTAGAGTTAGTTATGTAGTTAGAAAAATGCGTATTCTGTTCAACACATCTTTGAACATCATATCACTTGGCTATCAAAATATCAGTTTAACTCTACACAAAGTCCAATACTTGAGAATCTAGTCAGTTCAAATCAGTTGACTTCACTGAAATCCTCTTCTAAAGTTACATATACACTTAGACTAAATGGTTCCAAAGGAGTATAGTTCAGGAACACTTGTAGATCAGAAGCAGTGGCAAAGGAAGTACGTTCAATCTTTTTCCTTACCATATTTGTTACTAATAATGTATCAATAGGAAATTTCTTTCTGTCTTTCGAAACAATTTCTGACTTAATTCTTGGAAATTGTGGTAATCACCTGACCTTATTGATTACTACTCGACTGTTGCTTGTTTTTAAGGCTTAGTAAAACAGTCATACAGTTCCAGAAAACTTTCTTCTCTAAATTGTCAGCCATAGATATCACAATTTCGTTGAATTTTCTTGTTGGTTTTAATAACCCTGCATCGTCTTCATTTTCTTTCCATGCCGTGCTATATCTTGAAGTCTGATTTTCAGATAATTTAAAAGCTTCATTCAACTTCATCTATGTTACTGGGTTTAATTAAATATAGTTGAGCAAAGTGTATTAAATTGTAATTATGCACTTGTAGAGTATGAAATCGCTGAGAAAAATATCTTCTGCGTGCTTCTCCTTTCCTCTAATCTTCCAGTTGATATTTTCGGCAGTTTCAAGAGTTTTTCTCTTATCTTCATTATGTTTAGTTATCACTACAAGTCCTGAGAAATAAATGGAAAAACAAAATACTTAACAACAGTAAGAAAAAACAAAATTATCGTACGTAAATAAGCAATGCATATCCCTCGTGAATTTCTCTATTCGAGTGACACTACTTAATAATTATATTTAGTAGTATGATAAATATGCCAACATAATTGGTAAATGGGTTGTATTGATATACAGCATAGGTAAATTGCCTACAAAACCTTTTACTTCTTAATGGATAGAAACTAGGTTTTATATTTTTTTATTTCTTTAAAAAGTGTTTGATATATTCGTGTTCTGTTTTCAATGAAACTTTGAGAAAAAGGAATTATTCTCTGCATCACTTTACCGTACAATAATCCTATGAGAATTTTTATTCACTCTGGACTTTGAAGGTTGAATGAAGATACTACTCGTACGCAATTGAATTAATACCACACACTGGTTTCTGTCTCTAGATATCAGAACGTTTACTCTCCCGTGATTGATTGGACTGAAATGATCAGGCACAATGGGCTACTTTACAGATGCCTGGATATTTCCGAGAAATTACAACCTATCATATCTAAACTTACCTAGGCAGTATCGTTTCAACTACAGGTGACAAAGTCACACATGAGGATGTCAAAGCCAGGATCGGAAAAGCAAGACGGGCCTGCATTAATGCATAGAGATTTACTGCACTCAGCATGAAGAACAAGATCAGGATTTTCAAAACTGATGTCAAGTTCAAGTCATTGCTTCCATGTGATGGTTGAGAGACTTAGCACGTTACAAAAAGCATTTCCAACAAACTACAGACATATATCACCAATAGCTGTCGCATACGCTAACTTGATACTGAAGATGGAAATTAGATGGATGGCCAGAATAATAAAAATAAGCAACAAGCAACTCTGACTGGCCTAGCAACAAAACCAACCTAGAACCTATCACCGAACAAGTAAACAGAAAAAGAAAGTGGAAATGGATTGGATTTAACATACAGTAAGAAGACCATTTGGGCATATTACACGCCAGGCCATGCCCTTGAATTAAGGCTAAATAGGAAACGAAAAGTTAGATGTCCAAAGCGAGGGTGACATGGAGGAGATGGTGTGAGGATGAAACAAAAGGTTATGTGGAGTAGTGGAGCCAAGTTGATAAAACTGGAGAGAAGAGAGTGAAATGGAGACGTGCTACTGAAGGTCTATGTTCACTAGGAACTCAAGGGGAAAATAATAATAATGATAAAATCATATCTAAACTATACTTTACCCCGTTTTTTTTTCTAATTCCTTTTTTTTAATACTTCTCTTTGTAATAGGTTAGAAAATATTTGAGTGGAAATGAGAAATGTTTAAAGAAGCTTGTTCAATATTTAATCTCTAATCAAAATTATGATAATTCAAAGAAGTTTAATCCTTCTGTTGTCGAAAAAATACTCAAGAAACTGCTTGTATAATCATCTTCCTTATTGTATACTGATGGATTACTGTCACTATTATGATTATTACCTTTTCCAGATTGTCCTGTGTATTTATTTCATCTTTGAATTGTAATGCTAATTATATGATGCTAACGAAGACTTGATTTATGTAAAATAATCAACATAGCCTAGTATATAATATATATATATATATATATATATAATATTTATGTTCAATGATTTCTTGTTGCTGACATGTTTGAACCGACTAAATTAGATAAGAAATAGATCACTCAACTGGGTTTTGTAGATGGATATAGATGATGTGACCAAAATAAAAGGGGAAGTCGTATTATGGATCCAACCACGAACTAGAATTCACAAGTGAATATATATATATATATACATATATATATATATATATATATATTGTAATACATGTTATCAAGTTAGATAATTTAATTAAGTGTGTGAATAGATGAGATAGACATCGTTATTGGAGTCTATACTGATGATGTTTAATTTCACAGCATCTTATATGTTAACACTTTTCTTAGTTCGACACTGTTTATACATATATATTAAGAATTGATAGATAGATGAAATGAAAAGTTGAACCTAATAAATAAATTGCATAGAGAATGACGTATATCACAAAAGACAAAGGGATTTAAACATCAATATCAGTGATTACGTTCAAGCTTTAGAAGACGTGATAGAGTGAGGCTGTGTAGTCATTGATCCCCATCGTTTCAAGGATTCCAATCTACGCCTCTCAACCAGGTTTAAATCAGTAGTTCGACACTTCATGGACTGATATCACATCTTAGTCTTATCATGCCAAACCTTCTTACAACCTAACACTACAACTAGAGGTATATGGTGACTGAGGATGTACAACATTTATTCAATCCACCTGAATCGACGGACGTTCTCAACCTCACCGACTGATTTGCCTAGTAGCCTTCGCCTATTATTGTTTATTATTATTTTTCTCTTGTGTACCTAATGGAACATAAGGCTTCAGTAGCACATCTCCAATGCGCTCTATCTTCTGAAATCTTTCGAACTTCCCTCCACTCCAGCATCTGGCCTCGCGCATGATGCCCCCAGTCGGCATTCTCAGTCTATGCCCATCCAATCCATCTCCACTTCCTTCCACTGCATATTTGTTCAGCAATAGATTCGTGCTCTCTTGGTTCGTTGATAGGCCTAACTTCCGCCTTGATTATCCCTATGATTCTGACAATCCATCTGAGCTTCAGTAACGAGCCAGAGTAGGCAGTTCTTCATGAATGTGTATAGTTTGTGTGAAACCCCTTTCGAAACGCGACAAGTCTCTCAACCATCACACACAAGCACTGACTTGACTGACATTACTGTTGAAAATCCAGATCTTGTTCACACTTTATGCTGAGTTCATTGCACAAGATCTCCACACTGGTTTCAGGTTAGTGAACGCCTGTCTTGTTGTCTTTTGGATTCCGGCTGGCTTTGACATTCTCGTCCGTGCCACCTGTATTTGAAAGAGTGCTGCCTGTGTAGGTGAAGGAGGCTACTTCCTTTGGGTCTCTCCCGTTGATGGTGATTGGAGTTTGTTGTTGGTTGGCCTTGTTGGCGAGGCCTTGACATTACTCTGTCGATTGTTTATTCGTACTCTAATAAAATATATGATGAGAACTAGTAGAAGTAAGGGATTTCTGTGCTTTTAACTTTTATTGCGATAACTCATACTGAACCGAATGTCGTGAAATATACTTTTTCAACTGTGGTCAGCTTGATCTAGTGAATTACTATTGTTACTCATTAACAGAATGGTTTTCATCATCTGATGTTTGATAAACATCACAGTGATAGTCTTTCGTTGTTTAGGTCAATGTTGATGTCCTTATTCACTGTGGCAAATATCAATTAGTTCACTGAATATTAGATCTCCTTCATTATGTTTTATAGTGCACGTCATTCTTGTGTATGCTAACATCAATTAAGTACTACGCTCTATATATTCCCTAGTCTGAGTTTTATTCACACTGTCACGCATATTAATTGAATTTTCAGACTCCTAGTTGCTTTGATTGTAACTTTAAAAATTTTCCTTTTATAGTCAGATGTTTCTGTTAGGATAGCCACAGTACTTCGATGACTGTAGCACAAGTTCATAAAGTACCTAATTATTGTTCTGAGCTGTATAGAGAGATGTAGACTATCGGTCTGGCTGGCGTCTTTGAGATAATGGGAATCAGTGGTTGACAATTCTTTCTTCTATCTTCAGATTTTTCGTTCTTACACAAATGTATCTATTTTTATATGACTCCCATTCAATCCACCTGTTCTTTGTATATTACTCTTTAGTGTAGCCGATTGAATCGAAGCACATGTGTACAATGTTCTAAGTTGATTTCGTCTGTCCTTAACACATCTTAATACAGAAAGATGAGGATTATTCACACTTGGTTAACATTCGAATTTACACATTCAATCAGTGCTGATACCTCAGCAGTGCAATTTTGTTAAAACCATGAGGTCGAAAGCAGAAATATGATTCTTCTAACACTGAGTTTTGCGGTGTTTTATCATTCTGAAAGATTCAAATAGAATGTATACTCAGGTATATCCTTGATAAAGTTAATCAGAAATTGTTTCAACATCTTTTCACTGATAATAACGCTTCAATGTAATTGACTATATTTCTAGTCGATGCAATTGAACCTTTAAGTAGTATGTTTCATCACTTTAAATTACTTGTACACTTGCTTGTATTGTGTTCTCTGAGCTAGGTTGTTAAGTCGTGAAGCTTTCACCGTCTTTCTAGACGACATCTTCAGCACTAACTTCAGTATGAAGTGAGCTGTCAGTATCTCTCCGTGAGTGACTTAGTAGCTTGCTCTGATGATGTGGTCTGTGATTGGTTGTTTCCTTCAATTGTTGTATCATTGACTGCATGGATTTTCATGTTGACCATTCTTCTGATCTATAGTTTACCATTTTTTGCATTGGTTGACGGATTGGGTCTATATCTACACATCCATCTATTGATTGCTGACTGACTGACGTGAATGTCAAGCTTCTAGGAATTCTCTGATATTCTTTGTGTTTCCTTTCTCCGTCCAAGATTTCTACATTTCAAAATTCAATTCATATCCACAGTTGTTATCCACGTGCATTGAAATGAGTGACGAAATGTCGTGACGTTTAATAGCCAGTTGGTGTTCATGTAGACGAAGGCGAAGAGGGTGACCACTTTGTCGAATGTAGTGTTGACTGCAGTTATTGCAGGTGATCGTGTAAATGATATTCGGTTTGTCTTCTTCGGTTGTTGCATCCTTTGGTCTGCATTATAGTGTTTGGAGGGAATTTGTTGATTTATGAGCCACACCAATTCAACCAAGTGGTCTCAGTATTCTTTTCGTGATTTCTGATATATTCTTTATGTATAGTAGAGTGATGCGTTTGTTGGTTTCTGTCGGTGACTTTATAGTTGATGATCTACGGGATAGGCATCTCCTGATAAAGTTTCGTGGGTAGCCTTTCTTCCTCAGGATGGATATCAAGTAATTTTCTCCTTGAAGTTGTTGTACTGCAGTATGTTCTCTCTCTTTTGCATAGAGTCTGCACGCAACTAATTTTATGTGTTGCTAATGTAGTTGAGGATTTGATCAGAGTGTATTGGGTTTCTGTATACTAAACAGCCTGTTTGATTATGGGAAATAGTTGTGGTCTAACAGACTTGTATTGATATTAGGTGATAATTGAAGGTGAAGCAAAAATTTGGTTCACTTCAAAAAGTTGAACTAACAACCTCTAGGTTACTGATGTGTTACTCCACAAGTAAATCATATTCTGTGGAAACCATATAGTCCTTTCAGTTTATGCGAAAATAAATCCCTTTAACTTGAGTTATATTTATACAAAATGTATAGTTAGCTTAATTTCAAGTCGATTCTCAACATTATTCACTAACTCATCTATATCACTTGGTTTAACAATCATTTTAGACTGTTATCAATGACGTCATCTATTATTATTTATTATTAGTCCCTTGGGTTCCTAATGGAACATAGGGCTTCAGTAGCACGTCTCCAGTGACCTCTGTCCTCTGAGATCTTTTGGACCTGGTTCCACGACAGCCCAGAATCTCTCATTTCCTCCTCGTACGATCTCCTCCATGTCACCCTCGGACGTCCAACTCGTCGTTTCCCATGGGGATTCCACTCGAGCAACTGGCCTGACGCGTGATGTCCCCAGTCGGCCTTCTCAGTGCATGCCCAATCCATCTTCATTTCCTCCTGCATATTTGTTGCGTGATAGGTTCTTGGTTGGTTCGTCATCTAAGATACCTTATATTTTCTTTAACAAATAAACTCTACATATTTGTGCAAACTGATAGGGAAGTTATATTCCAAAATTTCAATAATTAAAGTATAGATGATAAGTAAATTAAATCAATAAGTCAGAAAAGAAATGAAAGTATAGTGAATGGAATAGACATTGTACACACAGTGAAATATGCTTCTTCCTGTTTGAAATTTCTAACATGTATACAGTTGACAAGTTGTAGAGACTTTATTCAATATATTCCCTTGTCTGTCTGTTTATCTCTATATGTTTGTCTCTTTTTATACAAAACTCGATTTCAGGTAACCTGTATAGGTGTGTATATTTTCTTTATTTTTCGATATGATATTATGTTGACTATTGTTATTATTTGTTGTACATATTGTAATATTTTCATTAGAAATACTATTATGAGTATTATTCATATCATTATGACTAGTAATATATGAAGTTTTATTTGATTTCCAATCTGAATCAAATGTATCTTTTTGTTGATAATATGTATATGGTATATTATTTGTAAAGTTGACATTTGAATTATTCCCGATAATTGGTTGTTTTAATTCTCTCATATAAAATGGCGGTAAATTTAAATTACTTGATTTCGATAGATTAGATTGTATAAATTTCTTTGGATAATTTGTTGTTATATCATTCCAGCAATCTAAAGATTGATAATCATCTAAATAGAAATATATAAGAAAAAATGTTTCAGTGTATCGATTACTGTAACAAAAATCATAAAGATAAATACTGAATGATGATTGAAGGTGAAATGAATGTGTAAACTGCAGTTGGATTCCAACCAGGGAATACCGGGTTACCGACCTGATGCTCTACCAACTGAACTACAAGGTCTAACTTCTCATCAAAGTTTTATTTCACTTCAATCATGAAGAGTTTCACCCGACTACCATGTGAATTCGCGATACGTTACTACCACTCAGGACTTCTCATTTCAATCTAAATCTAACTGGTATAGTCTTGACCAGGCAGCTGGTAGTAACGTATCATCAATCCACATGGTAGTCGGACAAAACCCTTGGTGATTGAAGTAGTGGAATAAAAATCTGGTCAGCAATCGGATCTTGTAGGTTAGTTCGTGGAGCATCGGGCCACAAACCCGGTAATCGTTGGTTGGAATCCTGCCGTGATCCAAATGTTCACTTCTTCTTCAATCATCACTTAGTATCAATAATACTAGTCTACCAAATCACGGCTGCCATCCGTCAAAATGTATACATACTAATTAATCCCCAGAATGGATTCATGTCGCGATGAATAAAGCAAATTGGTGGGTGACGGATGGTAGGAAACCTAGATAGTCGAGTACCGTTCCTGATGTATAAAGCGAAAATGAAGCATGATGAGAAGTTTCATCTTACATGCTTTTTCGATGAAGCATCAATTGAGTTATCTGACTGCTATTCATCTGGACCCCGAAACGGTACAGATTTTCATTTCTAGTCTGAAACCTTAATTCAAATTAAGTGAGTTATGTAAAAGTTTGATGATAAAATCTGATAGAAATAAATCATAGTATATTGTTGGGATGCTCAGTCGATTAACCATTCACTATTAAACATCTCACCAGTATTTCGATAACAGCTCGACGCATTTTTAGATTGTTAGACAACTGACCAATAGCAACACTTCAACTGCTATAAACATTATTTGATATATGCTTGTAATCAGTGAGTTATAAAGAAAAATTGGTTGTTTGTTATCTATTGTCAATTTTTCCTCCCATTTTACCAATCTAGAACCTCATATAGAAGTGTATCGATCCAAATTGACACACTTCACAGTAGTATGCAACGAACAAGTGGATAGGAAAAACTTAAATCAAAGTAGACAAAGGTGTATCGAAGGAAAAGGCATTTAAAAATCAACAATAGCTAAAATATTCAAGCTTTAGGTGTGAAACAGTGATTACATGTGTTGATTGTTATCAATTTTCAGCTGCCACTAAGGTTATTCAACCACTGATCTTTCAAAGACCTTAACAAATAATCTATGCCTCTCTACATAGCTGAAACCATCAGTTAGAGACTTCATAGACTTGTGTCATGTCTTGATCTGCCAATGTAGAGCCTTGTTTCAACTTAATCCAACTACTGTTAGTACTGTTAGGAAAGGCAGGTGGTTTCTAGGCATATGCAACACACATATCTAAATCATTTCAGTCACTGAAGGTTCACAACCTTAATGACTGACTTACATGTCTTACCTAGCACCCTTCGTCTAACCTCTACATCGATCGCATGGTAAATCAACCATATACCAGCAATTGTACAAAGACATCTGCCTTTGAAAACCTGTAGTCTTTTGACGGCTATATCTGAACATCAGTTTGTGTATAGTATTTACCTTTTCGAGCTGAGATTGATCTGCTTTTCCTAACTCACTACATATTGTATTTTAAGTGAGGGTATGACGCGGAAAACAGATGAGAATGTATAGAAAACTGTGTTTAAATCGACTAACTCAAGGTGAAATTAAGCCTCAAGGTCATATGAAGGATACCATATCGATGAAGATAATGACACATTTCAGTGAAAGCTGATGATTTTATGACACACGAAATAAGGCGTGAAACAAAGGAGAATATAATTACGCTACAACTAGTTTTCTTCACTCGCCTAACTCCTGGGAAGGCATAACTTAAAGATTAATTACATTCTGCACTTGGAAACTCCCAGGAATATAAATCAGTATGCATTGATCTATTGTCATGTCTCTCTGTATAATTCGTTCAGTAAATAAGAGGTTATGAGGACATCTGTGGTTAAATATACGCATAGCATTTACATACCTTCCACCTTTACTGGGTATTTATCTCAGACTTCGAGAGAGGCATAGTGCAATAATGCGTCGTAATACACTGGGTCATTAATAGGCATTCAAACATCTTGATAACAGAATTTCACTAACCCCAGGTGGTGCAACTTCTCCACCTATAAAGGTAGATAACTGATGGATTTTAATTTCTCCACAAACATTTCTTAATAAATAGGAAGTATTTATGTGTAGATGACTGGCAAGTAACCATTTCAATGTTGTCTAATCTGAAGTCCTGACCTAGTTCCTATCGATCATTCTGCAATATCTTCAATCTCCTAGCTTGATGGTTATACTGTAAAATTGATCGATTGAATTCGGTTAGCATTCAGAACTAGACAACATAAAATTGGCTACCCTTCAGTGATCAATCATTGAGTCTGATTCAGTCTTACAAAAGGTGAGTAGTGAATTGAATAGGGGATTAGTAACTTATATGACTTCAGCACTGGATGGTGAGGTTATGGATTTCAGAGAAAAAAAATCCCCTCAACGTTTCAGATATACCACGTCAACAAGCACCGGACATAGGTTCACGGCTCTCTGATAATTGCCTCCATCCAACTGACATGCATATTTCCAGGTTGCAGATACGCCTTGCTGACCATTGTTAACGAATACGAAACCTAGGTTCAGAGATTCCTGCCGATTACCTCCAACCAACTAACATCTACTAATTTACACCACGATACTAAGCCTCCTAGTTTGGCGATCAATAGGATTTCGTCTGTACTCAGGACTAGAAAACATGAAATTGGTTGCACCCCCGAAACCAATCAATGCATGTATATTTCCATATTATGCATTAATTCAAGCTCTTCATTTTCTTGTCAAACAGTCGAGTTTGACTTTTCAAGGAATGAAAATCAGTAGGGATATTCATTGAAGAATAATAATAATTTTTATTACCTGTCCATTGGTTTCCTAATGGAACATACACCTTCAGTATCACATCTCCATTCCAATCTCCTCTCTACAGTCTTTTTAACTTGACGCCATGACAGCCTACAACAAGCTTTCATTTCTTACTCACACCATCTCCTCAATGTCACCCAAATCGTCATTTCCCATTTGGCTTTCACTTGATGGCTTGGCCTGGACTGGTCTAGCGCGTGATGTCCTCAAACGATCTTCTCACTGTATGTCCAATACAATACAATACAATCCATCTCCACTCTCTTCTTCTGCATATTTGTTCGGTGACAGGTTCTCAGTTGCTTGATTCGTTGACAGACCAGTCAGAATTCCTCCCTACTTATTCTTATTATTCTGGCCATCCATCTGATCTCCATCTTCACTATCCAGTGAGCGTAGATGGCAGCTGTTGATGTATGTGTGTGTGGTGTTTGTTGGAAATGCTTTTTGTAACGTGCCAAGTCTCTCAACCATCACACATAGAATTACTGACTTGACAGGTTTAGTGTTGAAAATCGGAATGTTGTTCACGCTTTATGCTGAGTGCAGTGTCGTGGAGTGTCGTTGAGTGCAGTAGATTTCCACAGTGATTTCAGATTGATGAAGGCCTGTGTTGCTGTCTTTCCGATGCTGACTGGCTGGCTGGCTGGCTGGCTGGCTGGCTTTGACGTCTTCATCTGTCCCGCAGTTGCTATAGTTGGGAGGCTGCTGCCAAATCATGTAGGTGAAAGAGACTACTTCCTTTATATTTCTCCCGTTGATGGCGATTGGTGCTTGTTGTTGGTTGGGTATTTTCATCATCTCTATATTCTCTGCGTTCACCTTAAGGAGGTTCCGTCTTCACCGCTTTGTCTCTTCTTTCAATTTGTTAGTTTTAGCCCGTTTATCTTCGAGGTTGTGTGACATTAGACTCATTGAATACTTGAGGGCATTTAATTACAAGACTTACTTAAACAGGCTTAGTACGTCATTCGTTAAAAGATGCATACTAGCCTGTCAGGTTTTTATAGGGAGTATTTAGGTGATTAATAGCGCACTTTTGTGCTCCAGTGGCTTAGTTGGTAACACTTTGACGTTTGAAGCTATGGGCACTGGGTTCGTTTGGCAGTGGGAACAACATCAGTCACTGGAGTGCAAGTACATCTAGCTGACGAGTCCCAAATAAGATGAAACGCGCATCTTGGATTCCATTGCTAGTCACCAAGAGGAACAGAGTTCATTGGTCACCTTTATTGACTGGAAAGTTTTGTCAACTGGTGTTAGTGATAGAAATGAGATATTTGAATCCATTTTCACGACCTAGTGTATTACGACGCATTATTACACTCTAAGCCTGAGATAAAGGTAGAAGGTATGTAAATGCTACACGTATATTTATCTATGGCTGTTTTCATGGTCTCTTATTTACTGAATGAATTACACAGAGAGATATGACAATATATCAATGCATACTGATTTATATTCCTGGGAGTTTCCAAGTGCAGAATATCACTGACCTTGAAATTATGCCTTCACAGGATATTTTTTTAGTCTTCACTTTCACAGCACTATTTAGACATTGAATTTAAATCGTGTTTTGCACAGGAATGTGAAATGTTCATCTTGGGCTTTGTTTACAGATATTTTCCAATAAGAAGGGTGCTTTAGGCCATTCTTGGACAGTACTATTGCCAAATAAACCGGTAGTTATAGGTTAGACAAAATTTGCATACCGATCTGTCATTTTAACTGGTGTTCATATTTGACAAGATTCTGTTATTCAATTTCGCAATATGATGAATGAATTAAATGACTGTAAATCAAATGATGCCTCAGCTTCATCGACTTTGAAAAGGCATTCGACAGCCTCAACTGAGAAGTAATTTGGCAGCTGCTTCAACACTACGGAATACCGCAAACATTTATAAACCTCATTCCACAACGCCT